ATGACGGTACGAGTTGTACGATACAACTCTGTACTACGTCACCACAGGTGTGCAGAGCCAGCCAGGTGGATATGTGGCCAGCGTGGTGTTGTGTTCTTTTAGTGTGTGAATATGCACAGTCTCGACTGGCATATTTTTCTCTTCCCTTTTGTGCCCTTTCCTCCGCAATGTATTGCATTCACTTATGAATAAAATTCCCATTTTATTCACGTGTGTTGTCTCATATTCATTCGTCATCCGGGATACGAGGATAAACCTCGTATTCCCTATACCCTTCCTGCCGCTCGCGCGAACTAAGACAAATTAGCATTTAATCTGTTTCATTGACGCTGTAAATTGCACCGTGGTAAAAAACTATTCAATGGTATTACTTATATTAAAACACCCACCAAAGGCGGAGCCGCAGGCGACGCCGAGCTGCGGCGCGGGCGGAGCCCGCGGAGCAGCAAGTCAAGCTTTTTTCATAAAAATTTTAATTTTTAAACTGAATAACAAAACTCATGAAATCAAATGCAACAAACACCATTATATGTATGCGAAACACGAAACAAAGAACTTAATTTGTGCTGCGATATTAATTTTAGAATTATACCAGGCTGTTAGTGATACGCATTGCATGCAGTAAAGATAGAGAAATGCACAACTAGTGGTCAGTGCACCAGGACCGGGAAAGCTAGCGGTACATGTTTTACCGTGCAACTAACTGAAAAGCATTCCGAGACTATGTTTTCCAGTTTTACAATTTATCGTATTTCGCTGTTGCAAGCTTTTGAACGCGGTCACGATACCAAATGCCATAAAAAACTTTAAAAGTAGACTCATGGACACTGGACAGGGTTAGATAAATCAAATCCCGGACTTCTGTCCGCAATTTAGAGTTAATCTTTTCTAGTAACTACCGGTACAACTGCATTAAACACCGGTTGCGCTATAACTAGCCGCTATGCATCTGTAGATCACATAGGTACTTCAATAACAGATTCCACCCAGGTGCTGTTTAACCACGGACAAACATTTAATAGCGCCTCTTGCTGACAGCTAGTGTGTGTGTGTGTGTGTGTGTGAAATTGCTGAGAACAAGAAAAGTATAAAGGTTACATCTTTTTAATTATTTTTGCGCTGCTGTTTCTGGATGTAAGATTTTCAGTTACATATTGGCGTATTAAGCAAAGATGCATGATACCCATGTTCGTTATGATTGATGTGGAAATTGTTACTCGGAGTATTTGTTGTAATTTAGTTGCAAATTAATATTCACAGAAAGCGTCCTTAGTTTAAAGTAAAAAAGCTCATAATTAGTTTACAGTTAAACGATAAACTTCTAAAGTGCCAACCCATGCGAGGCCTGCTTTGCGCGACAGAGAGAGCGTACACCTAGTAAGTAATGTTTCTATGTAGTAGTTACAGTACAGTAATCGCATGGCTTGCATTAATTAATGTGAATTGTAAACTTGTAAAACATATCAAAACGCATGCAGTGCGATGCACATATTACTATGTAGTAAAAAATCTAATCATTTTTTGGGCATCCTGATATTACATCAGACAGCGATGGGATGACCCCCCGGCCCCCAGGGGCCAAACAAATTTCAGGGAAGGTAAAAAAAAACTATACCACAATTATACAGTCAAGTAATGCTGTCATCCAGCGTGCTTACTTACCTCATCGCACCCATTGTCATGCAAGTACGGTACGACTGCGCTTTATTATGGTTGCTATGTAACGTACGATGCGCAGAACAGCACTGCAGTACGAAACTCCTGCGCATAGCCACTTCGATTTAAAGATTGGATCTATTCCGTGCCACATCTGCGTTCAGGGTAATAACTGTAGTGCAGGTACAGTATTTAAACGAGAGCTTCTGCTTCTACGCACCACCAAACACCCTTTTGCGTAGTCAATTGATTTGTGCACATTCACGTGGAAATTGCTCGGGCGCGCAAAATTCGTTTGGGGTTACAGGTAACAAAAATTCAAAAAATATTGTTATTAATGTAAACAGCTGGAATGCGAGAACGTTCTGAGCATATCCGCTATCAATAGTTATAATGAAAAGCTGAAGCCGACATCGACCACGTCACTTCGAGAGATGGAGGTTCATTCATGCATGTAGAAGATTAAAAACCATTAAAAAAACCATTAAAAAAATTAAAAACGATTAAAACCATTAAAAAAATATGAAATTTAATAACATAATTTACAATAATACGAGTAATAATAATATGTAATTTAATTTTGGTGCCAGACTGCCAGCCAACAGCGGTATACTTCCTTAACAGCGGTATACTCCTCAGTCCCCATATACTCGTATGTACCGGTATGCGGGCCCCACCGAACACTTTCGCTACTACAGACTGTACGATACAAGCACACCGAACGCTTAGCTGCATGAGCAGCCCCACCTGCGCGCGGCTACTTGACTTTCGATTGGTGTGTAGATTTGCAGCAACCAGTTAATTTTTATGTATTCCGTGTCTGCCTTTTTGGCAATCCGAAAACTCAGCTGGCTGAGAATTTTGCCGGTCATTTGACCATACAAAAGGTAGCCGTCGCGAAATTCCGCCTGGATTACAAATGCCAAAGCGCCGTCGAAGCAGAACACGCAGCATGAGTTGGTACTCGGAGTAACCAACTCACTAAGTTGCATAGCAGTGCACGTAGTGACTTCGGTAGTAGGTGGATGTAAGTATTTCCATGACAACTGCCGTAAATAAGTTTTTTCTGTGAACAGACACTCGAAATACAGGGAGCTTAAAAAATACCGGATACTTCCAAAATCCAGATATTATAGAGTACTAGGAAATGCACGCTGTCGTGCAATGGCAGAGCGGAGCGAGACTTGAGCGAAATTTTCACCAGTTATTCGGTACTTCTATAGGTCCGCACATGATGCAGTACATAGTGAAATAAGCAATTGTCTGTGGCAGGGGCTACGTTTTACTCGAAACGCAAATTTATAAATTTGTTGGAAACTGCATATAATTAAGAAGTAGTTGCGTCTCGAAAGAAATGGTAAATTAAATCGTAATTAAATTTTGATAAATAAAATTCCATGGGTTATTCATTTGCATAACAGTTGATAAGACACTTACGGAGAATTACCCGTAGTGTTCCTGCTTTTCTGCCAGTTTTTGAGAATGCCGCGAATTTAAGGAAGGATGATTAATAATGACATGCAACCATTATAAGTTTTAAAAACTTCTAAGTTAACTTTAGGCTTACGAAAAAATGTTAAAGAGGCTACAGTAACTACGGGGACGCAAGTACCATTATGGGTTTACACCTTAAAAGGGTAACTCGTAGTGGGCGTGCGCATAGCCAATTCGGGTATTTAAATGAATGAGTACATGGTTGTACTCTGCATTCTGTAACATCTGTGCGTACAGCTTAGGACAAAATGGTCGCATACCCAACATCTCCACATTCAGTACGAATGCAGCGCAGTGCACTGTACGACTGAGTTCAAAATATCCGTTTTCGTACAAGTGCACGGCACTGCTTGCGTACAGAATGCTGGGTATGGGGCTATGCGACCATTTAGTCCTACATTGTACTATGGGAAATACGGTGAACTCTTATATTTCGAACGAAGATATTAAGCAGAGTAAATAAAATATAATAAGGATCTCCAGAGTTTCATTCGCGCGGAGCGGGAAGCCAACAAACGGTTTTATTCCAAAAATCGCTAGAGTAGGAATTTAGCCAAAAAAAGGTTATTCTTTCAGTATTTTGCTCAAACCGGCTACGGTTTTTAGCAGAATAGCAGCACTCCCGGACTCCCCTTCTTTATTTTTTAAAAGTACGCACTTCTTCAAAAATTCCGGAGGGGCCGCGTGTTTCCGTGCCACCCTATCTAAATTCGACACTGTGACAGTGGGAAGCATGTAGAAAAAAGCATGTAGTAGCTAAGGTTTCTAGCAGCTACAATACAGTAATCACATGGCGTGCATGAATGCGCATTGTAACTTCTAATAAACACCGAACCGAATGCACATATTATTATATTATAATAAAAAATCCAATCATTTTGTGCATGATAATATTACATCAGACAGCGATGGTGAACCCCCCGGCCCCCAGGGGCCAAAAAAATTTCAGGGAAGGTAAAAAAAAAACTATACCATCAAGCAATGCTGGCATCCAGCGTATTACTTCCACATCGCAACCATTGGCATGCAAGTAAAGTACAGCGCACTTTATAATGGTTGCCACGTATGATGGTAAGCTACGATGCGCAGTACAGCACCGCAGTACGAAACTCCTGCGCATAGCCACTTCGGTGATTTTACTACGTAGGTACATACTCCAAGCTTTCCATCAGAGTGTTACAGTGCTATTCCGGGCAAGAATAACCGTGCGACTCGCAATTCCCTGCCCCAATCAAATCAGGATACTTTGAAAGATACAGTGAAAACTCATCGTACGTACACCGCGAAGAAACGTACACCCCTCTATTATGTACGAGAAATGCTGTGCCGAATTACGCCGTAGACTAAAATACAGGGGGAACCTCTACGTGACGTACACCTCAGCGTTGCGTACGCGTACACTTATTCTCTGTACCGCGTAGGCATTTAACTGTACCCAGTCACCTCGTGAATGCGTACACCATTGTTTCGGAACTGCAGATTTTGAACAAAGAGAACTTACTCGCAATCCACTACCTAGATTTTTGTATCCTGTGTTAGGTTTTAATAATCTTTTTGGTTGAAAGTGTGCGAGAGGATTGTTCACGTCTATGTACATGCGCACAAATTGACGCAGTTTTGTTTGTAAACCAATGAAGTACAGAGGGTGATTTCGCAATATGCTTCCAGCAAGGGAAGAAATTCCCGATAATTTCCCTTTCTGTCCTTTTTATCTGTTTGCTATGTGACCTTGTAGAATGAAGTGTGCCTAACTGATCAGATTGATTTCTTGACTTCGAGCGGTAAACATGGAACAAAAAGTTAATTTGAGACCAAGGTGCCGTGTGCTGGCGCTATAAACAATTTGTAAAAACAACAAAAAAATCGCCGAGCGCCTGATGAGCAAAAGAATCGTTATTTCTCATACTACGATGAACAAGGTTTTCGAACAATATGGGCCCGAGAGTGAAGGGAATAGTTCGCCTGTAAAGCGCCTTCGAAATCAGTCCCTACCCAAAGTGCGCACCAACTCCCTTATCGCCAAGCCAAGGTAGAGATGGCAACGGCCGGCTAAACGGCTGACCTTTCGGCTGACGGCCGGCTGAAGCCCTTAGCCGGCTAACTCAACGCGGCTGGAAGTCTCAGCCGGCTAGAGCGGCTGACCAAATTTTCCAGCCGGCTTAGCCGGCTGGCGGCCGGCTAAGCCGTTTATTTTCTCGCTTTAGAAAAATTTCGCAAAATTTTGAAAATAACGTTGCAAAGTGCAGTTAAATCACCAAAAATTACAAGCTGTTCCGTTTATGTTGTGAAAGCACGGTTTTTCAAAACTTTCGAAGCCGAAAAACAGCGGTTATTCAGAATTCCGAGTCTGAACGAGATAAAATTCCATAATTTTTTACAGTTAATGGCGTCATTGCTACTGAAATGGCATCATGACGGCCGAGTTTAACAATATCACGAGCGAAAGCGACAGAAATTAGGCGCAAACCGAAGAAAATGTGACTCAAAGTGACTCGGTGGCGCCATCTTTACCGCCAAAAATTGCACAACGAGGCCGCCGTTCAAGCCGCTTCAGCCGAGTCGGCCGCCGGCTAAGCTGCGGCTGGCTGAAGTCTCAGCCGGCTTAAGCAGCCGGCCTGACGTCGGCTACGGCTTGAAAAAACCGTCAGCCGGCTGGCCAATAGCCGGCTAAGCCGCGGCTTAGCCGGCCTCGGCTAAGCCGTTGCCATCTCTACGCCAAGGTCATGCGGGCTATCTCGGCACTGAATCCAGAGTCTCAACGACAGTTGGAAAGGAAATTTGGGACATCCCAATACACGATACCAAAAATTATTCACGGGGATTTCGAAGCGAAAGTGCGTAAAAAAGGCAGAAATATGCTCTGTCAAATAAGCAGGCACAACATAGTGCTTCCCGTGGTTCCCAATTTGCCAAATTTTTGAACCAACGAAATTCATTTTACATCATCTCAATTGGCGCAGCAAAGGTATATCTTGATTATACGGGCGAGAGAAGAAAAATCTGTTACGAGCTTAAGGGATCCAAAAATCCCGAAAATTTGACGAAATTTTGTAACGTTAAAAAATCACAGGGTGTTATGTTTGTCGCCGGAATTTCGTATCGCGGCCCAACAGCAACCCGGTTCATTCCTACTGCTGCTAAAGTAACCGCCGATTTCTACATTCAAAACGTAATGAAGCTATTAGCGCGAGAAAACTTCCCCCGCCTCTATCCAGGCGAAGAAAAGAAGGTGATACTGCACCAGGACTCCGCTCCCGCTCATGCTACCAATAAAACCTGCCAGTGACTAGCTTTTAGCGAAATCCGATACATTCCAAAGGGTGCATAGTCGAGCAACTCCCCGGACCTGGCGCCCATGGATTTTGGAACGACTGGGGTTTTTAAAAGAATTTTGTATGAGAAGCATGCAACGTCGATTTACGGTTTGTTAACAGTCCCGCGCCGCTCTTGGTCTAATTGCCCTGTGCCGTAAAATACTTTGTTCCTGGCGTAAGCTTGTGTTGTTGGTCGTAGAGAAGAAGGGCTTTTAGATAGAGGATTTATTAAAACAAAATCTGCGCGGCGAGAATTATAATAATTTTATGAATGAAGTGGAAGCATATTGCGAAATCACCCTCTGTACGTGTGCTTTTAGGGTTTCGAGCATTGCGCAGTGTGTACACAGCAGTGTGGGGCAGTGCCCCTAGGTTGGAATTCACCCTCAGGGGTGCTGGGGGTAGCTAATTTGAATTCCGTACACCCCCGAATTACGTACGAAATTTTCTGTACGGAGTTGTACGTTTTTCAGAGGTTTCACTGGTAACGTTTTGCACTACTGATATTTTCGTACAGTAGGAAACAACAAGCACTGCTCATTTCCAGCATATCAAAAAATTGATCGGCTTTGGGAAATTTAAAAATGAACTGGAAAATTTAAGCACGTATTAGCGTTTTTTATAAATCGGGGGAAAGATGGCGGGACAGAAGGTGTGTCATTTGGATTTTGGCACTTTATCTCTTAGTGCTTCGGAGCAAAACAAAGGCGTCCACCCGAATAACCATAAAAAATAGAAATGTAACGATAATTATAAGGAGTGTGATGTCTCCGGCAACGGAGCGGTACCCCTTTTTCTGTACAACAGCGGATAATATAGTCAGCAACCACAATTAATAAAAAATTATGGCATGATGGAAGAGCAACTGAAATGACAATGCAATTTCGAAGTTATACAAATTACGGATGCATGAGGCAATTAGAGACATGTAAAATCAAGGCATACAAGCCATAGCCGGTCTGAAATGGAAGGTAGGAAGCGAAAATACGGTTTCATGGCCAGATATTCAGCGTATTCAGTTTCGAATACCACCATTGTTTTCCGGTCCCGTTGCTTGCGGCAATTTCGATAAGGGTTGAAAAGCAATAGTGCGATTATTCTCATCGAAAAATACAGTATGTACGGTAGTTAGCATTTACTACAGTAATAAAAATTAAAATCAAGCGATATAGAGCACAATATAGGATTAGCGAATAGCAGTCGGTCCGGTCGACCCTCGTCTCAAAAACATAAGTAGTATAAAAATATCTAAATCGAGAAACAATGCGCATAATTCGCTAGCACTGAGTTCGCACTGAGAAACGCTTACTTATTTGCGTCAGAGGTCTTAAAATAATGCATATCTTATATCTTCCTGGGTACGTTGTATCGTAGCCTCGGAGTAGTATTTAAATAACTCTGATAATAAAGCGCAAGCGCTTCAGATTACTATAAAAAAATTGATTAAAATTACCAAAAATTTTAACGTTGAGAAATAACCGAATTCTGCAAAATATGGGCACACTGGCGAGAAATTCAGTCCGTGAATGGCGCATGCATCGAGGTTAAAATAAGTTTTCGATGGCGTAGTCCGCTAAGCACAACAATATACAGTGTTCTAAGCCTATAATAAAAAAGACGCAGCACGCTATTGCGTGATTACGCTGTCTGTTTGCTTTCGGCGTCGTCCAAAAGGTCCTCAATTTCTTCAAAAGACGGGAATGAGCACGGCATGCTCTTTCCTGCTGTCCGGAAATACCAATAGCGCAGGACCGTATCTTGTAAGTGATAAACTAGACCGGAGAAGCCGTACGAGGCCAAGATGTAAACGAGCTCCAGGTACAGTATCGGAATAATATTTATGACTCGAGGATCCGACGCGTTCTTTCCGTTGCTGTGCTCTGGACCGTAGTACAACTGTACTGCCACGCACATTGCAACGATTTGAACATATGACGATATTATTTGGCCTCCTTGAAAAATGACATCCAAAATTTCACAAGGTCTGCATAGTGCTGTGGTCCACGAGGTCAATTGCTGTGGATCTGCAGGCCACGGTGAATCACCGCTCAGACAGCGTACACGATCGAGAAGTTGCAGCGCTTTGGTTTCCGCCGTCATGCTGCACAGGAGAAAGCTAATGGATGGGAGTAGAACGCCGCCCAGGTATGCCATGCGCAGCATGAAGCGATGTAGATCGGACTGGAATAAAAATTGATTTATGCATTTATCTAAATACTTCTGTTGTAATAAACGTAATAGGAGTGACAATTTCATCGACAATTGGAATTCACGATATCAACAAAAGCTAACGTCAATTTTCGATACCAGCCGCCGAAGAAACCCACTTTTCCCGCCATAAATCACTTTCGCCGCTCCAGACACAAGTCGCGATGATGAGGGTAACTCTTGCTGGAACCAAAATTAGGCTGGCGACAGCGAAGCCGTTAATGATCAATGCACATTTGCGGATCCTCCGGGCAAAGTAGCGATCATACTGTAAACTCTCAGTCGTGAACAGGTGAACCTTGGCGTTGCTTTTATCTGTGTTAGGCAGAGCTTTTGCATCGGCAGACTCCTCTTGCATTTTCAGTTGCAACTGATAACGGTAAAACCAGAATTATAGTATTAATCCTCCATCAATACGCGATTACACATCGAAGAAAAATACTGCACTGATACTCTCATGCAATTGAAAAATTCCGGAAGAATCACCATTAGCTAACAAAATTAAATAAGAAATACAGCGATACATACAGGATAAAATTTTAGAAGGCATTCAAAAACATTATTTTCTGATACCTTGTGACTTTTCGACTGTTGCATTTCCAGTTACGTAGCGCGGCAATAAATACAGCTGTCCGGTGCTCCCTGCTGTCTGCAGTCTTGAAATGTTTTACGATTTCATCCAGGAAGTTCAGCATCCAGGAAGTCCAACGTGTAATTAGGCGTAATTACAGTATACATGCGATATCGCCGCAACTGAAGGCAGGATAGGTACACATTGCAATCCCTTCTATGCGACGTCAGGTGAAAATCGTTACGTACAGACAGGCAACGACTATACAGATACAGTCGCCTACTACTCTGTAGAGCAGTTTTTATTGTCCACTGCTGTAAGACGGCAAAACAGAATTGTGCAAGACATTAAATTTAATAAATTAATTATTAATTTATTAAATTATTTGCAAGATATTGAACTTATTATGACGATGCTATTATCATTATTGGTTATTAGACCGGCAAACGCTATTATTGCGTTATTATACAGTCGCGTACTTAAAGATAGAAAGTTAAGATAATATATTATGGACACACAGATACATTTTTGACCTTTTTGAATATACATATACGAATGTATACCTGAAAACATCTATCGCGTCTGCACTTAATTATAAATGATTTTACGCGGTATGAGCGGTATGGTACTGTGTGCTAATTATACGATATAATTAAAACTGTTTCAACCAACGTTAAACTTTATTTTGTACCGTATGTGCAACCTTATGTACAAGTACACTGGACATGGTACTCTCAAGAGCTCGTACAAGCGCTATCGTTGTAGGCTTGTACAAATACAAAATTAATACGCGATAGACCAATAATAATAATAAAGACTCATTTAGTCGTGGTAGAAAAGTAGTTAGCCCTACATTAGTGGTGAACCACTAAATGTTGGGAGAAGAGATAGGGATTTTTTAAAAAAGCTGCTCTTCTCCACATACTGGTATATTTATGTGCATACAATTAATATTAACAAACAAAGCACATGGTCCATAGAAGTACATATGTAATAACAAAAATAACTGAATCATATGTATTCGACCGGAGCGGGGAAGGTTCTGTAATTCCAGCAAAATTGTTTGTCTGTGTATCTATCTGCCTGTCTGTCCGATACCGAAGTAAAAACCGGATGTTGTGCGCATAAGCGGTTCTTTTGCGCCACTGTATACAGTGTATACAAATTATCTGGTTAAAGAATGCTGTAAAACAACGCTAGCAAAAAAATGTTTGGAAGGGCATGAAAGTGAACGTTTTTGTGCAAGTACACGAGTTTGGTACCACGTACCGGGTCGCTTCCCTTAAATTAAAGCGCGGATTGGTTAGCAAAAACACTTTCAATATTGTAAACTTTTTTTGGACTACCTTCACAATAAGTTGCGGAACGTATTAATTATGTGATGCCTCAATTTATAGTATTATGCTAAAACATCAGGCTAGTTGTTTGTGTTATGAACGACTGATGTTTAAGCGGTAAAAAATCATCTTAGATTTTGTTGTTATTTTGCAAAGCTGAGTAATTAGCTGACATCAAGGTGATGAAACTTGTAGGGGATGAAATCTTCTTTCAAGAAACCTTACACCGAAGTGCTGGTAAGTTACACATTTTTGAAGGGCCCAAAAGACCGTTCCGGAGAATAAGAGTACGGTTTAGCAAATTGTTAAGTGTTGACTCAAGTTATAGTTTTTTATTCAATTAAATACTGCGTATGTGCCAGGACAGCCAGGCAGGAATTATTATGCATAACAGTTGGGCAGTTGATGTTGTTATTAATGTACTCATTTAAACTGCTGTATTAATGAACAGGTTTTATATTTCCAATTTCCGCACTCGGATACCTCGGATTGTTTTCGTCCCGTTATAACATAATGTGGTAGATGCCATTTCATATGGCGTCTGCCAAACCATATCGCTTGCGAAATGTCACACTCTGAAGGTTTCACCGCTCGCATCAGTGGAGTGGTCGGCTAATTCACGGGCACGCCAAGCTGATGTTAGGGTTACCTTCTTGTCGTCGTCATCTGTGCGCGGAGATCATGCGCATCACCGAAGGCGCCGGCGGTGCTTTTTGACTCCGATATTTCCGAACGGCTGTCTGGGCTTCAGCCTTAACCAAGACCTTTTGCCAGCAATACATGGCTTGCACGCCTCGCCTCCGCAAAAACCTTTAGCGTCTCCCACTAAGGAGCAGAGCATGCTGAATAACACTGCACCTTTATGTGGGCGCCTTGATTCGCCAGTATCGAACAAAACCACTACTTCTACCAGTTTCTTCTACTTCTACTTCTATCCCATATTGCCGGTATCCAGAAAATATAAGCCGCTAAATCCGACGAACTAAAACCGTCAACAATTTTTTCAGTTCGTAGCAGAAAACAATTAAATAAGAAAGGAAGAAAGTAAAGCTGCATGCCGAGACAAAAGGTAGGATGTTCGGAAGAAACAAAGAAGCAGGTGGAACACAAATAGGCATAAATCTCTTGCACCGCACGTGCCCGCCTCCTTCCTCGAGTATCGCGCATCATCGATGGCACAGATTGCCAGTAGCCAAAAGGTATAAGCCGTTAACTCGGATGGACTGCTGAACAATACTCGACATTTTCTCAGGCCATATTTCATTTATTTCAGTTAAAACTGAAAATCTTAAAAATGATGCTAAACGTAACCAACGTAACGATTGTGAACGTGACCAGCTCGATCATGCAGCGAAAATCTCTGCTTGCTATTGCCCGTTCGGAACTTATGGCGTTTCTTGTTGTGAGCTTAGTCGTTTGTATCATCGGTTTTGTGCTTTTTGCCTTCTTCTCGTGGTCCTCATCCGGCAACCGTCTCTCTTCGAGGGCTCGCGCTACCTCATCTTGAATCAGGCCATCGCGGAGATACAGCAGATTGGTTTCCATCTGCCGGCTCTCACTATCGGCCTTTACGTAGACGAAGCTGGCAGCCACTCTGTGCTCTCCAGCAGAGCGTTTTGTCTGCATCAGGCCTTTTTCTTTCTGGTGGTGATGGTTGTGTCCATGTGGGGCCTGTTCGGATTGGCCTTGAACCGTTTCCTAGCCGTCCGGACAACGTCGTTACAACAGTACAAGCGCTGGACATCCAAGCAGTTCCAACTCACCCAGATCGTGATAATCTGGTTGATTGCGATTTTATGCCATATCTACATGTACATCCAACCGGATCTGGTTATGCCAATGGACCTCGCGTCAGGGCCAAAGTGTAATACAAGGCCCAGTGTACAGTTTACGCTGAAACAGATATTTGGGACGTACGTCCCACTAGGGCTCACTGGAGTACTGTATTTGGTAATTGCCTTCCTGCTGCTGAAACAGCGGATAAAGAAACATGTGGTGACGGATGCCGTTGTAATCGTACAGGAGAGAAATTTCGGGAGACACCGAATCCGGTTGGCCAAAATTCTGTTCATCAACGCCACGGTGCACACCGCGGCCTTCCTTATCTTCCCGGTGCTGAAGACCGTACGTGGTGTGAGTGCCAGCGCGGATCCTTTGCTGCCGCTCTGGTTCCGCTTAGTATTTCATGCCGGTCAGATGGCAACACCGGTAAGTGGTTGGAGAGTGTTGCTAACCTAATAATTCGCTAAAAAACTAAGTCTACCATCTGCTCTCAGTGATTCTGGGCTAAATGGTAGCGTCAGCCGCGCGACAGATAAGGTCTTTTTGTTATGCAACAAAATGCCGACCGACGGAATTGCGCGTTGATGCGCCGTTACTTGCAAGAATAGTGGCGCATGTGGTGCAAGAATTGTTTTCTGAATATTTCCATTTGTTTGTCGCATTGTAAAGGGTGCGCACTGCGCAGGCGGTAGCTCAGCCCGTGGAGGAGCGTGCAGAAGACAGATCTTCTTCGAAATCATGCAGCACGTGAAAGATTGCACTTTTCTTCTTTGGGCTTTTTGATTATTTCCACCTTTACTTAGATTTCTCGGATTAGTATTTCCAATTTCAAGTTACTGAAATTTTTCTCGCACTTTTTTAAACGTACAAACGCCTGCAGATATGGTACGAGTACGCGAAGCAACCCCGCGAGGTAGAGTTGCGGCATCGTAACTGCGAGTAGATCTGCTTCCAATCTGAGACCCACCCAAAAGATGAAAAGTGTTGCAACCCAAAAGTGAACCTTTACTTTTGAAACTAAACTGATTCTCCAGAAATTCAGACTGATTAATGGTCTGCTAGCTGACCTGTAAAGAATAGGTGATCTGTTGGTACCAAAGCAATTGTACAAGTACAAGTACAACGGGAGAAGTACAAGTATAACATTAGAATGTAGGTCCACCATCTCATGTGCATGAGATGGTAGACCTACATTCTAATGTTGACAACATTGCTGTCTTTCTGACGGTGGGGCCACGCTTCTCACGTGAAAAAAACGCATTCAGTTGCAATAATAGTCCCAGGGAGTTATTTTTTTAACACCTACGCAAAGATCGTGAGGAGTTAACATCTGTAATTATTTCAAGCATTTTCAAAAATTATTTTGCTTTCACTACAAATTAATGCAAATTGTAAAGTACTCTTTTCATACTGCACTTGCTTAACCGATTCTTGTTTTGCTTAGGCAACGTTCTTCTTTCTAAGCCGGAATTGTCGCAAGGAAATCGTCTCTCTTTTCAAAATGCAGCCGCCCAATCGCAGATAAGCAGATAAGATTGTGTTTTGGAAACTCGAATTCGCAGTAGTCTTTTAAACGCGCAGCCCTGGCGACCGGTGTACAACATCCCGCTGTGAATCGAAGCCCCGCCAAAGTGACGTCGTCTGATTTACCGCGCTCAATAATTATGTCATTAAATGCGAAATTTATTGTGCTTTTTTTAGTTACAGTACCTGCATGCTGGGTTTTCCATTGACTCTGCATTTTCCAGCCGAATGATTTTAGTGAATATACAAGTACAGTATTTTTGGAGTATGTCAACTAATCCTATTACCAGAGTCATTGCGAAATATTATGAGCTGTGTTGCAACGTGCAATGAACAGAAAAACGCCGTTATTTTAGCATACTTCGCTTTGACCATTATTTCGAACGGTTGCACTGTACGAATCAATATTTCTAACACCCCACACACACATTTACCCGTGTTGGTATCAGCGCTTCAATCAGCTTACATGCTACACCGCATGCTACATGCTGCAGCCTACGTGACTCTAGCCGCATTTCAGGTAGCCTTTAGCCTGTTCAAGTGGTCGCCCGCTAGAGTGGCTGTGGATTTGGCCGAGTGTCAGAAATATTGATTCGTGCAGTGCAACCGTTCGAAATAATGGTCAAACCGAAGTATACATATTTCATTACGGCCCCTGGATTTTGAAGAAAAAAATATAAAAATAAAACATTTAAAAAACTGAATATTTTTTGGAGAAAAACTGCTCTCCTCTGGGTAGGAATTGGATGGGTCGGCTGATAACAGCCGACAGATATGACAGACATTCCTCCTAGAGCAAACTCACACTGCACAGCATAATAATTACGGGTTTATTTAAGGCAGAAATATTTCCGTATTTCCGTAAACTCGTATTTCCTGGCTAGTCGGTAACGCGGGAATTATGTTGATTGCGAAAATATGGAGTCCCATTACGTGGCTCACTTGAGTCCACCACACTGTTTCTTTCTTTCCGTTCTGATCGCGCTGCAGCTCACAATATCGACCGACGTCCAAATAGCATTTGAGGTGGTTCGTCCATTTTTTAACAGCACAAAGAAATCAGATAGACGAGTAAATCACAACGGTAACTTGCGAGCGAGCCATTGGGTAACTAATGTCTATTACAGTATATGGGCGATGGTGCTGTACGTTTGATGTCAATTGTCAAGTGATTTTACATGTCAATAACTCTGCAAGATTTTGTTTGTTTAAAAGCAGTAATATGACTCAAAGCAGAATGGAATATCATCTAACTGTTTGGTTTTGGTACACGTAAAATGCCGGAATGTTGTGCAGTGACAAGCGAACGAGAATCGCTGTAATAACATTTGATCGACAATTTTAGTGTGACATTTAAAATTGTCAAATTGTTTTACACGCTGCCGCGACATTTAATTATTGTGATCATTACCATATATGGCAGCCATGAGCTGCTTAAAACAGTTACATCACCAGCGCTTTTCATATCCTTGGTTAATAATTTAATCGAGCTTTTCATAAGAACACCCGATTAATTAGCTACAAATACAGAAAAGCCAAACTTTTACGGGTAATTTCGGAAGCTACAGAATAAACCTAAATATAACCAAAGCCTGTGGATTTTGAAACTGTTCGATTGGGGTCAGTTCTCTGAATGCCCCTCCGTCATAGTGCCGGCGGTGGTGCGGCCACCATTTCCAGAAGGTGCGTTGTCATCGGGATTGACTACACGCGTCATGCACTCCAGATACGGAGTGGAGCAAGCCACGGAGCTCTTGAATTTTTCCACAACTTCGTTTATCATGCTTGTGGTGTTACTGGACATGCTACTTTGATTCATCAAAGTGCCACGCGCGATGCAGTCCCAGAACGGCTTAAAGCAGTCCTCCATGATCAAGCTACCCATAGCGCCAGCGTCAGTTGGTGAGGACCCGGAGGAGTGCTTGGCGCTAACAACCAAAGGAGCCGACGCTGTGCTGCTGATGATCAACAATAACTGCATAGTCAGTACGGTCGCACAGAACGGAATACATTTTGTCCAATCCATCTTTCTTTAACTGCTTCTGTAACACCAACACCACAGAAATTAATGGCTATTGAGAACGTATAATGTTTCTAGGATGTGAGTAAATGTATGAAACTCACATTCCGAATTAAAAATGTAACACCAAATATACGCCCGTTTCAGAATCAGACGCTGATTAAACGGTTCGAAAAATAAACGGCGGCAGATTTAGGGTAACTATTCGCCTTCACTACGTTGCTGCAACTGACCTTGATTCCACGACGCGCCTTTCTCCCTACTGCAACAAACCAACACGAAGATTAATCGTCGACTTGAACAATTTTGCTGCAGTCAAGACGGCTGGCATTCATCTGCTATAAAGTGTAATGTTTATTACGACTTTGACAAAATGAGTCGTGTACATACGTATAAAATACTTGAAGTTCCGGCACATTTGCAAACAATCGTAGGCAGAATAGGTAGATGGGAAGCAGCAAACCCGAGCTAATGTTTGCGCAGCCATGCAGAATTTTCTCCACCCATGAACGATAATCAAACAGCAGCCGGAGAAATATGGCTGAAGTTGCTTAGTAGTGCATTTGTGTGCAGAGGGCAAGGCGAATGATTAGCGATCACAAAAAAGCAAGCGGCTAAGTCAACCTGATAGCGCTTCCGGTTTACCACCCGAGTGAGCTGTATTCCTGAGAATGTCAACATAGTACGGTGTATTCAGATGACGAGCAGGATTGTACGTAAGAGACTAAGAGGCCATTGAAGTGCAATTGTGAGCAGTGTCTCTGCTACGAACATACTGAACATGGGACCGCAGATTCCGAAACGCTTGTTGAGCGATGTTTAGAAAATTACTGCGTAACTTAAAGGATTCAGTTAAACTTAAACCAAATTACGCAAAATACAGGCGCTTAAGTTCCCGTGACCGCAAGGATACCATTTCAATGAACTGACATATTCTGTGGGAGAACCGGTGTCTGATTTACTTATTAATTATATTAGTTATTAAATTTCATTTGGGAAACTATTGCACAACAGCAATCGGACGATGTTTGTATGTATATAAATAATAAAAAATGTGGCTGGTGGCAGGCTTAATGGGTATCTTCCGTCAGCTGTACCGTTTTTGCTGAAAAAATCACCATGCAAAATTATAAAGTAAAGCCTAACGTAAAAAGCATCAAATCAAAATGAAGTTCTGGTAATAACGTTACAGAAAAAGAGTATCGTATGGACAAGCGATCATCAGTTCCGTGGTACTGGCGTACTTAATTACTGGCAGAATATTCATACTCCTCTATATTCAGTGCCGGGAAATTGGCACAATACAAACAGGACCGCCTTTTGCAGGAACATAAAGTATGGGGAAACTATTAAAGCAAAGCTTTTCGTTCGATTGTCCAAAATTCCATGTGTGTGCTCCACTGGTTATTCACCTAAACCCCTGGTTATCGATCGTTTTGAATAATCTGCGTTCTGGATAAGGCACAACCGTTGATATGCACTATACACTATCATGCATTCAACTTGACTGCACTTCGTTGACATCGCTGCCTCAGCTCTTGAAATTTACAGTTTAATTTTCATACAAATATATGAAAATTCTGAAATTCTGTGGCTAATAAGTAATAAATAACGTGCTCTTACCTATTACTTTCTATAACCAAAAGTAAAAGTCTTCCCATTCAGTACCCTGTTTATGTGTAATCAAGTGGTATCCCATATTAATGTTCCTGCTCTATTCAACGGAAGTTTGTACTTCCATCGCTTTATTACCAAACCAACGTGCGTCTTATGATAAAGCGGAATTTGCTGTAAGACTTATTAGTTTTTATTTGCAAAGCGTTTTAAACTTCGTACAGATGCTGATCAATACTGTATTCTTCATTTCCCTTTTATTTTATCGTAAGGCATCTATAAATTTCAGTTCAGATTCAAGTGCAGAGAAACCTGGAAACGCATATTCTACAGAAATTCGGGCGTAATATCTTGTACGCGATGGCCTCAGTTGATTCCGAGGATCGTACCCTTACCCAGAAGATCCACAAAAGTGCTCTGCTCATCAACGCCTGCACTGTGGCCAACCTCGTCATATTTTCAGCAAGAGTGTGCATGATAACCGCGACTACAGTGTTGAGCGACGACGATGATTTCTTGCGGAATATGGTACGTTTGCTATCGAGAAACCGCTCCGCGGATATTTCCGCTGCCAAAATATCTGGTGTATTACGCCAACCGTTATATTTTAATAATAATTATATAAACATTTCTCGTCATGCCATCAGCAACCTGCGCACCACGCTGCGATTGCTGCGACCACCACTGGATAAAGCACGAGACTTTGTTCTACATTACAAAACAGGCGTCTGGGAATGAAGACATTATTACCGGTGCAAATTTTAACTGCCGACAACAATGTCTCCCTGCCGGCCAGAGATTAAATTATTTTAGATTATTGGTCAGTTTCCGAATAGCTTTATTACTTTACTGGCAATTTTAGAAGAGTTACGAATTTGAAAATCAGCATCGTCGTTTTAATCAATGACGCCATCCTCTTGGCGGCAGCAAAGGAAAATCTAGCAAAAAAGGCCGGCTGGAAATTTGTCGGTCACAGAAGTTTCGATGGTCGGCGTTGAATTCTAACGCCGAATTTTTGTAACTAAATAATTTTTAGATCCAAATACAAATCGTACAACTACATTCAACTAAGTTTAGTAAATACATGAATTTTTGTTCCAGTCCGACGCGCATCGCTCCTCGCTACGATTGATTTTTCACGGATTAATGCTGACCCCTTCGGTCAACTTCCTCTGGTGCGGCATTACGGCTCAAATCCTCGGAGTGCTTATTTTCGCGCATGCAAAACGGCTGTGCAGTGCCTCACAGTGGTCCATCGCTCCGTGAAATTTTGCCTTGTGTACCGCCACGCTTCGCAGACATTGTGGAACAGTGAATGGCATTCTTCAAGGCGTTCAAATATTATCGTCGGTTATGCAAGTTATATGGGTGGCCTTAATGGTTACTGTGCGTTACATGGTCAAGTACATTCGGGGATCGAGACTATTCGAATGCCAGCTCCAGATGATGCCAACGCTGATCATGGAGTGTATTTGCATCCTTACTTCCATCCGTTGCTTCGTTTTGGTAAAGCAACTGGAAACGACTGTTCTGCATTACTGGTATTACCGAGCAGTTGAACCTAGTTGAACCATGCGCATTTCCATCGCTCCAAGAAATTCAGATGCTCCTGAAGAATGCAAAAAGAAGCAGACAGCGCAGTCAAGTATGAAAGTCAATCACACCTTTTTATAAGGGCACTCTTAAAGCTTATTACTCTGCAGCCCGGCGAATCTGGAAACGGATGAGCTCTTGTAAGTTGGTGCAACCAGCTAGGAATATGGAATGTTGAACTTTATGTATGGTTCCGTTTGATCATTAAATTCCAGGCAGCGCGCGAAAATATGGTTTTCAAAGACGAATGCTCAAATAATCGAAGTCTTCCATAAACATTTCCCCAGAAATTTTGAAAAGTGACTGCGATAAGTACCCTCGTAGAAATACTAAGTACCCTCGTAGAAATGATGAAATTAAAATAATGCATTAAAAAAATGCATTTAAATGCATTTAAAAAAAATTTCATTTGCCAAAAATATGGAATAAGCACAAACTATAAGATGGACTCTAGCAAAAAGCACAGCAAGATCGGCTTTAAATTACAAGGAAAAAAATTGTGTACCTAGTATAAGAAACCAAAAAAAGGATTTCTTATGTCTAATAGATCAAGTTCATAAAAGCAGATACACAAAATCAATTTTTCAAGCAATCTGTTTTAATGAAATAAATTTATTTTAACGTTGCCCTGGGCGCACAATACCGGTGCGGCGGTGTCTGATGCCTTAACATAGGTAACTCATGATTTCAGCCCACTATCATCAGTTCTAGTATCATACAATCACAGCGACCTCCGAGGCTGATGGCCTTTCACGACACTAACAAATTTTTTTGCGGTAATGTAACATTCTTATATGACACCATGTAAAAAGTAATTACTTAATAACATTTGTTGAAAGCCAGACAACATAATCAAACAAATTTTTGGTGGTATAATATTAAAATCCATGAAGCGTTTCGATTAACTTATGAAACAGTGAGAACAATACTAAGATCCAGACAAGAATCAGTAAAATGAGAATAACGCACGGGTGCGTACGCGCACATAAGCATACACTATTAAGACAACGCGTTCAGCGATATTTAAACAGGAAAAAAATAGGAATCTTCTTAAACAGTTTATGACACAGAACTGATTAAAACGGCGCAGGGGATGTATCTATTAGAAGGTCACGTTTAAAGAGCCAACATCACGGTGTCAGCTGTCAGCAGCGGTGCATCATCCTCTTCGGGTGGCGCTTTCACACAACGAGCGTGTTCGCAACAATCCTTGTTCATTTCCCCCCGGGCAATCCAGATGGACTTCCACGCAAAACAGCAAAGCCCCAGTTCAATGACACTTAGCAGCACCAGTAATGCAGGCAGATGGAACTGCTCCGGGACAATGAGCCCCAGCACCGGATACGGGAGGAGTGCCCAGAATAGCCCACGGGAGAGTGTCACCACGATGCAACGCTCCCAGTCCGCCCACATAACGCACACACAGAAGGGTTTTGTACTGGTCGGCCCATCTGACTTATCAGGGCTGGCAGTTTCCTCTTTATGTTCTTCCAGATCAACTACGGCTTCTTTTGGTTTTGGCTTCCTTTAAAAATAAATGTGTTACATCAACGTAGTTGCCTGGATATTGGCGGAACTTAAGTGTTTTCCTACGGCAGTATACTTTTGTTATCAGAAACTGTCTCGCTGTTCGGCTTAATTTACCAAATAGCCACCGCAAATTGGAATACTACCCTAGCTTATTGCTAGTCTGATCAGTACGTCAATGTCAATCCAGCCCTCTCGGACTCCTAAATTTCGACCGCTTACCAGATGCACTGCAGTAAACTGCGTACACAGAAGCCAAAGATGTAGATCCAAGATGCCACTCCGACCATCACGAGGAGAATTATCGGCAAGCCGACCACCGTCCCAACGATCCCCATCCACGCCACATAGAGGCGCTCCGTTACCGGCGAAAAGACCGTGTCGAACAGCGCCAAGAGAGCCGGATACGTGGTCTTCCAACGTGGATAGTGTAGATCCACATAGTACGACAGCATCACCGTTGCTTGGCTCATTCCCTAGAAATACGAGTATAATACACACCAGTTCCGAGAGGAGACGGCCAACGAAAGCTGGACAAAATAGATAGCCATTGAACGATTAGGGCAGTGTTTTAGCAGTGGCATTTTCCAGTGCACTCACTGTGCTGGATTACTAGCTAGTAGCTACTGAGATCTTCGATGTCAGCTCTCAGGAACGTTATGCTGTTTGATGCAGTCTTACAGATAAAGCGTTTGTCTTCTATCGCAAACAGTGTACATTGTAATAAGCAAAGAAAGATAAAAGTACACAGTATCACGTCAGTAAAATTAATGCTTTGGCACCGTTTCGTAGTTGTCACAACACTCGGTACACGTGAGGTATGTCCAATACGGTAGAGATGTCGATTCCGGAACAGATGTCGACTCGTTTTGCGCACTGGCCAGTGATGAAAACGAAATGAATGAAATCAATGAATTCATCCAACCGGAGAAAGAATCCATCCAAACTTTAAAGACCGGCACTCTAGGCAGCATATCTAGGCAGTGGTTAAGCACGCAGTAAAAAGCTGGGGCCACAACCATTATTAAAGTGGATAGCCATTTGAGGCGACTAACGGGCGACGGATTGTCAGCCGATGCTTCTGTCTTGTGTGCAGCTTCCTGTGACTGAATTGCTGTGAAAGGTTGGAAGATGAGCCGCACTCCCGTAACATTCCTTCCAAAGCAAATTAACACGCATTAAGTTTGCTGAATGGGAAAACGTAGTAATCCGTAAAAGATTACAAGGCACTCTGTTTCTCATGGGCTTTAGCGGATTTTATCTCTTTCCCTACGCACTGCTGCCATGGGTAGCCGCGCACGTGACACTTTACCTCTGAGACTACGGTCTGTCGGAGAGCTGCTGATTAATAACGAGAAAATTTAGTACCTGATCATTTCATGGAACTGCATCAGATACGTTCCGTTCATCCACAGCCCCCAAATCCTGCCGGTGCAGTGCACTGCCAGCAGACAGAAGACCACAACACTGGCCGGGAATACCGCTTCTTCGCTGCAGTGGAGGCCGATGCAGGCAACGGTCAGTCCCGCCACAATGACCACCGGCAAAGCGCAGAAGACCAGCCACAATCCCGAGAACACAAATATCCCAGCATAAAAGACCAAGACGCTAAACATGGTTGAACCCCAAATGGACTGATTCGCATCCACTTCAAAACCCCAGTCCTCGCCGTTGCAGGTCGTACGGAAGCCGCACCAGGTCGTAAATCGGCGGCAGTTGCGGAGATGCTGTGTCCAGCGGGGAATTCTCCAGTGGCGGTTGACACACGCTGAGCAGAGGACAGAGACGCCGAGAAGCACGGTTATGACGACCATCGCGAATGCTCCGATGTAGCCGGCGTTGGCTCGGCTCGGATTCACTGTAGCCGTATTGGTGACCGTCTGCGGCAGCGAGGGTTTCCAATGGGAGACCACGTCATCCCACGCGCAGCCGGTTAAATTCTAGAATGGAAAATTATTTTAATTATCGCAGGTAACTTCACGTATTTCACTGTACACAGTTTTTGCTGACAGAAATTAAAATGTATAGTAAAATTTGGAAGCGAGGGCGTACCCTTCCACAGTATTGTCAACAAGGGATTTGAGAAGTGCGTGCACCGCTATTGGCTGGCACTTTTAAGCCGAAGCGAAGCGCAATTATTGATTTTCTAATGCGCAGTTATTAATTTTTCGAAGGAAGTGGCCCACTGGTGGCAAAGCTTTTGACTCCGCGCACACCAAATATATTAGTAAATTATTTTTCATTGTTCTGTGACACTTAAATGGCAGATACAGTATTTTATTCACTCTGCGTACTTGTAATGGAAACCGCCGGTGCTTCAAAAAATTCGTGGCAGAGTTATGGGAGTTATGGACAAAATTCAAAAGATTTAAATGCAGACAGCTGTACGGATTGTCTCAATATGATCTAACCTTCAAATTTAGATAGTTAAAGCTTCATATCGAGGATACCAAGGTGATTTTTACACTGATTTTCTGGTTTACTTTTTTAAAATTTTGAAACTTTTTGTAAAATTTATTTTTCAAAAGTTTTCCTTCTTTAATGATCAAAAAGGGCAAATAGAGTTGGAGCTGCACCAAATAAATTTCTAATTTGCTTAGCGCTAGTAAAGAGCACATTACATGTGGTCTTTCAGTTTTTGTTCAAAATGCAAAGCATTTTTATCGGGAATAAACTCACCTGGCCAAGCAACAGCCATAGAAGACGATCCAGATCCGTGTACTTGTCCGGGTCGATGCGCGTCAACTCCCATTCCGAAAAAAATCGACTACCGAATTTTAACGAAAGCTGGCATCCGATCCACAGTACGCACAAGGCTTCCGTAATGATCTCATGATAGGCCCAGTTCAGATCGCGGTTGAGGACATCGTGGAACGTCGACTTAGAAAATTTTCCCATTTGGTTCAAATATCAGCAGCCGGATAAATAAACAATATGCACAGAATAAAACAGTGGGTCGAAAAAGGAGAGCTAGCTTCCTTTTTTGGCAAGATTTTATAAGTAGTGCAGCTGTTGCGTGCTATGAGAAGCGCTGATCTTATTTCTACTACTCGTATACAAATTCTCACAATATTAACACGAAAATGTTTGTTTGAAAATCTGATATGTTCTATCCGATAAAATCCTACCCACTTCTGAGACGCTTACAAAGTTTTTTCCCGAGTGAAGCACCAACTCCGTCTAAAAATCTCTTTATTATACGTTGACTGCATGCGGTCCTTGCAGTTGAAAATCGATAATTTTTTCGCTTTATGGCAAACGTGGAGCATGCAGTGCTCTCCTCCTGGTAAGCTGCTGTATAATATACAACCAGCGCGGCTCAGTACGTTGATCCACGGTCGCAGATGCTCGAAAGAATGGGCCGTACAGCTGCTTCTTTCTACTTGTCTACCACATGACGGTAAAGGAAATCGATGTAAATCCGATCAAAAATGCTGTTTTGGGGTGATCCGCCGGGTATTTAAGAGTTCGTGCGCTATTGGGTTCACCGGATACCGAAATGCTTCCAAAAAATAGGCGCAGCATCGATGCTTCCATTGTTCTGCAACAAAATATGCCATTGATAAACGGCCATTTCAGCAACCAAGAAGATCCACAGCATTTGTCAAAGATACCATACACAGTATTACGTACGTGCAATAATATTGTATGTACATAACAGCTTTCCGTTCGCCGCTACAACTGACACCAGTTTAAAGGACTAGCGCAGCCGGAAGTAAGCCTGGTGTCGCATATATGCTGAACTTTTGTAGTTATCCTTTATAGTGGCTCAGGAGCTACAGTTTTAGCAGACTAAACAAACAAATAAACAACATAAATACGGTATCTGCGTACATGCTGTGCCAGCTGTCAGGTACAACAATATGTCCTACAATAGTGATCAGCCGGCATCGCCACTCGCAAGAACAAACCAATACGCCTACAGCATTTAACAGCCGATAGGTAGTCGTCAGACGCTTCCGTCTTGTTTGAGATCTCCTGTGCCCGTTCGTCGCAATCCCGTGGTCTGCCTAGGAGAATTAAACATGGAAGGAGGAAGACCAGATTTGGTGAAAATGTGTAATGTTAATACTGCTGTAGCGGCTCGATCAAATTGTACCACAGGTTCTTACTTCGCAGGGGGTATCCAATTTCCCTCTCCTGTATTACGGGGCATCTTTTTTACCCCACACAACTGCCTCTCAGTCTCATATGATACCGTTCGAAGTTGATTTACAATTTAAAGCCGGCTTTGTCGTAATATCTACTCGAGTAGAAGCGCACTGAATGAGAGAACCATTACAAGGCAATAGCCATTCCCATAGATATAAGTGCACAACGCTGAGAGCCTGAGATACTACTTAGGAATTAAAAGTTACAAAACAAACTGCTGGTCCTCTTTGGGTGCAAACAGCCACTCACGCACCCCAATGTTAGGAGGCCAGTTTTCAGGCGTGAACATTTTCTCAGTCTCATCGGCGTAAGTACCAACACGTGCAAACAAACTGTTCTTACGGCCATTCTTAGCGGAGTAGATCGACACAAATCGAACTGAGATCCCATTTGATTCAACAGCGCTCTTGAGATCTTTACTGTAATCGTCGTGGGTCAGATGTTGGGTCTGCTCCAGTGGGGGGATGCCATGTAGACAGAAATCCTTCTTCTCTTTCTGTTTCTCCTTCTTGATAGCTTCTCTGTGTTTCATATGCATGGTCGACATAACGATATCTTTGTCGGTTGACGGGCTTTCACGTGCGCCGCGCACAACTTTTTTCTTCTTGGCAACACTTACCCAAGAGTCCCGAGCACTCGACGAACTTGTAGGGGGGCTATAAGCGCGGAGGGACCACTTTAATTTCTGGCGTTTTCATTGGCGTGTGTATGTCATCCAGAGGGGGGAAACTTTCAAGATCCAACTTACTCGCAGGCGTCGTTACGGTCGATCGAAACCCAGAGGGTTGAGGAGCTAATCGACCTGTTTCGACGGAAGTGGCTTAATCTGTACCAAACTTATTTTAGGGTTTCACTGTCTAATTGCGGACCAACACATCGTACTGGTTGGTGATGCCGCGACGCACCGCTACACGACTTGTACCGTGGGCAGGTACGCCTGCCGCGACGCCGCGATGGCCGCGACGCCTGTACTTAGCCGCGATGCACCGCGACACTGCGTATGCCGCAGATAGGCATGCCTGCCGCGACGCCGCGATGGCCGCGACGCCTGTATATAACCGCGATGCACCGCGACACGGCTTGTACCGCAGGCAGCCTTACCTGCCGCGAAGCCGCGATGGCCGCGACGCCTGTATGCAACCGCGATGCACCGCGACACGGCTTGTACCGTAGGCAGGACTACCTTCCGCGACGCCGCGATGGCCGCGACGCCTGTACTTAGCCGCGATGCACCGCGACACTGCGTATGCCGCAGATAGGCATGCCTGCCGCGACGCCGCGATGGCCGCGACGCCTTTATATAGCCGCGACGCAACGCGACACGGCTTGTACCGCGGGCAGGCATACCTGCCGCGACGCCGCGATGCTTGTATATAACCTCGATGCACCGCGACACTGCTTGTACCGTAGGCAGGCATACCTGCGGCGCCGCCGCGATGGCCGCGACGCCTTCATATAGCCGCGACGCACCACAACACGGCCTATACCGTAGGCGGCGGACATAACTGACGCGACGCTTGTATATAACCGCGACACTGCAAATACGGCAGGTGGACATACGAATGGCTGGCAAAGTTTATAGGTCACCGAATTTTGTGTACCCGTTGACATTCTGAATTTCTTTTTTTCGGCAGGAGGTATTACTAACTTAACCAGACAATTTTAGTTTTGATGCAGTTCAAAAAAGAACTTCATTGCAAAATGCGTGAGATTCCACAGAAATCCGCTAAGCGGACAGCCCAGAAAAAATGTGGACCCGCATCATAAGTCTGCACAAGTCGCTTAAAGAATGCGTAGTTTGTTGCATAAAATGTAAACTAAGGTCTAATAGTACGCATTCAGTGATAAACTTGAGCTGATGAATAGGATTAACGGGTTCGCCCATCCAAGCTTAATTTTGCTACAAGAGACAAGCGATGAAAACCATGACATTATGATAACAAGAAAAATTTCACTTTTCTGGAGCCAATGTCTCCGGTTTCCCAGTTCTGTCCCTGCTGGCGGACTATTTTAATGGCCTTTCAGCTTTCTTTCGTCGGCTCCCCTTCATCGCGAACGCGAGTGTTAGCATCTTTCACTAAACTCTCTTCGGTAAACGGAATACCGCAAAACGGGACATACCACGCACACTACAAAGAAAAAAAATTAATTTATTTTGGCAAGTTGTATATTACTATATTTTAGTCAGTTTTAAATCTTACTTATTGAAGTTGCGAAATTCGTCTAAAGAATCCGCGTTTGGTGTGGCTATGGCTGGAGTCTGTGGTAAACGGCGTTCTCTATGGTTTTTTATAAGATTTTCCTTGTACGTATCATTCGCAGCCATTTTTAGAGTTTGTGGGCTGAGAAGATCGTGGATAACCGAAGGATTAATTGTGTTCCAAATCTCAACAATGAAGGAGTAATCGTAGTTCATCTGAAAAAGCAAAAATTGCTGTCGTAAAAATGTATGTTAATACCTAAATGAAAGTCAAACATGCGAAAATTCCTTACTCACCAATAAATCTGCCACTTGAATTTTTGCCCCGCCCGTTCTCCAATGCTGAATTACGAAAGCGATTAACTAAAACAATAAAATTTTTCTTTTTGACGCTACGCAGTTATTCGGAATTTAGAAGAAACCAAAGTACCACAAAAGAAAAATTATAAAAGGCTGATTGAAATTTCCGTAAACGGAGAATGCACGTGAAATAGTTGGGTCGGTGTGACTGTGCCATGCCAAAAACGGTGCGCTATTGACTGAACCTTTGACTGCCCCCTGCTGAGGCATTGCACGTACTGCATTATTAATTGACAAATAGAGCATATTTTTCCGTGCATTGGGTTTATTTTAGAAAATTGAGGCGCTTCACGACACGAAAACTGCAAAAGGCGATCCTTCCTGTGTGTTCGACATTGCGGTGTGTAGCGAACTGCCAGTTACAAACGCTGGATGGTCAAGGACATGATGGAGTACAGTATGCAAAAAGACGAAAGCTTCGTAATCGAATGCGCAGCTTGTTCTATGACGAACAGTACGTCGATTAAAACACGATAACGTCTGGGTGTGCTGGAAAAAGCCTTTTCCGGTTACGAAGATCTCATTTTCCGAACTGTAATGGAATTAACCGACGATGACGATGGTGCCGAGTTGACCGGCCGACAACGCAAACAAAAGATATGCAGCAAGAGTCTGGATTGCGATGGGCGTGAATCGGACTAAGCGGACAGTGGTTTAAAGGAAATTTGCAAAACGACCTCCAAGCATCTGCTTTGGAAGAGCTTTCGAATGGCCATAAGAAAAAGAAATATATAAAGATTATTTTGAATGGAAAGTGGAATGGAAGCATTTTCAGCTGGTTTTGGATCTGCTGAAAGAGAAGCCGATTTGCTTCTCAAGTCTGTACCAAATGTTACGAACCTAAATTAGCTCCTGTGATAAACTGCGTCAAATTCATAAAATATCGTTTTATGCTACTTCTGTCCGATAAAATCTGCAGCGCAATACGGGCTCATTCAAAGGATGCCCAAAGCATACTCCCGGCGTCACGGTGGTGACTGGTGATACCTCCCGATTCAATTACATTCAAAATATGCATGATGGCTATGTTCAACGAGAGCCAGGAACAGCAGCACGAATGCTGTGTCTGTAATGATGCGGTGTGCAGCGATGGGAAAAGATTGGCCTTGTATGCCTGCGGCATACGCAGTGTCGCGGTGCATCGCGGCTTTATACAGGCGTCGCGGCCATCGCGGCGTCGCGGCAGGCAGGCCTACCTGCGGCATACGCAGTGTCGCGGTGCATCGCGGCTTTATACAGGCGTCGCGGCCATCGCGGCGTCGCGGCGTCGCGGCAGGCAGGCCTACCTGCGGCATACGCAGTGTCGCGGTGCATCGCGGCTATATACAGGCGTCGCGGCCATCGCGGCGTCGCGATCGTTGCCGCGACTGTCGCGCGATAAAAGTTTGGTACCGATTGAGCCAGTTCTATGTTTCGACACTATCCGAGGTGGATGGCGCTTGGGTAGCTTTGATGACGTCGAGCTCGTTTCTCAGCGATTCCACTGCCGAAGCGATGTCTTCGTACTTCTTTTGGTTTGTCATTAATTTGTGTACTTGACCTTCCATTGACGTAAGCTGGGTTTGAGCCGTTGGTTTTCATCCACAAGCGCAGCGACGGTAGCAGAAATTTGCTCCTTGATTTGCTGGGTAATCAAGGGGGGAACCTGTTCTTGGATCTTGCCTTCAATGAGTTCCAAAGCGGGGTTCAACATCGCGTTCGGATTCTCCCATACAGTTACAACATCGCTATAAATGGAAGGAACGAGTTTGCGCAGTATAGGTATCAACCTGGAAAAGGACCACTGAGTAGCAGCTGTGCCATCTGGGAACATGCCGTCGAAGCTTTCCAGCTCCAGGGTTATCTCGCGCTCCATACTTTGAGCGAAGTTGTTAGCTGGTCGCGATTTTAATCGGGTCGACCATCAACAAATGCCGGAGAATATTTCAAAATGAGAATGATGGAACCTTATGATTAATTTTATAAAAATACAATGCTATTCTTAAAATACAATGCATTCTAAGAATACTTATTAAGCCATAGAAAAGTATCTCATCCCTGAAATTTTGTTAACGTTTAACGCTGAAAAAACCCGAGAAAAACGTAATTAAACAAAAAAACCCGAGAAAAACGTAATTGAACAACGTAATTGAAAAACGTGAAATGAGAGAATGGTTAATATATGTTGCCAACTTGCCACTCACCAATCAGTACATGTTGAAGAGAAGCTGGAAGAGAAACCAGGTCCCCTGCAAAGTACGGTGAAACCACAAACACGCTGCGTGCGTATGCGTTCGCCTGCCCGAATACTGCACACAATCCAAGTGCTGTTTCGATTTCGGTCCTGGCGGGTCGTGCAGTAAACCGTGTCGAATGCGGCCGTGTTACATTTTCCCGGCGTTCATGTTAACTCCGTCATTTAGGTTTTTTACTGCAGCATTAAGCAGAAATTCTGACTGTGCTGACTTTTGCGCGGATAAAATCACATTGCGAGGACTTCCGGTTACGATATGATAGCGAGGACTTCCGGTCATACTGCGAGATTCATGACATCTTATATTGTGCACGGCACGCTCTACAGATATTGTGAATTAACCCTATAGAACCGGAGTGGGTCATGGTGACCCAAGCAGTGGTAAAAACATCAGATATCGTTTCTTGTTGGCAACGCATTGGGATATTCATTAGGGCTATTCTTCTATATTATTTCTGGCAACATTTCTGCCGTTTCAGTTTTCAAAAAAATTTGGTTTAGCATGAAAATTACGCTGGGTCGTGGTGACCCAGATTTTACATCCGGTTGCCAAATGTTTAAACATTTCTTTACCATTCAGTCAAAGAACATGAAATAATTCCCACCCAAGCAGGAAGATGTGTACTATCACTCAAAATCTTTATGGCTGCAATACACTGCTGCTCTACAGAAGAAAAAAATCAAATCCGCAACCGGTCGACACTGTGGTTACGTAAGGCAATCTGTCTCTTTGGAAGCGATATCCTCGTTCGAACAGTGCAGTCATGAGAGGCCACAGAGTTTCATCACGGCGATACTGAGATCCGCGATAACAGTATCTAATTCTGGCCGGCTTGCATATATCGCTGTCTGTGAGACCGATTCGAATGACCAGAGATGTTCCATCCTGCCAAGACTGGCAGATGAATGGGCTCTGCCCCACTTTTGCCCAGCATAAATAAACTGACTATTCTTGCTCTCATTAGTCAGTCCTGCCCTCTCAAGGCAAAATCGCCAATTAAAGTGCCTGGGTCAATTGACCCATGTTCGGGAGAATTTTCTCTGAGATATGTTCGGTTGCCTACGCGACAGGTCGTCGCGGGACATTTGGTTTTACGGACATTTCGTTTAAGGACATCCAGTTTTTGTGGCAAATGGTCATATGACAGTTCGTTGCCATATACCAGTCGATAATTTTTCGACAACCCAAGAGTCGCGCGATCAAATGTGCCACAACAAAACGGCCACAAAACGAGTTGTCCCAAAACACATTGGCCGCTGCGACGAAAAACGTGTGGCGAAATGTCCCACGACGAAATGTCCCGCGACCACTTGGGCTGTCACGGTTCGGTTCTATAGGGTTAATGAGGAACGTTACTAATTTAAAGGAGGACAGATGTTCATTTCAGTTCTTCATATTCTTTGGGTGACGTTCCTACTACTTTGCCACTAGTCCCACTGCGAAGTACGAAGTCAAAAAACATTGAGAAATGGTAGTGTGTAGGGTCACTGTGTAGTGTGTACAAAAGTTATTTGCGCCAACATTGATAATCGAGTTTGTTAATCTCCTGTTGGTCCAGCCGGATGGTTATCCTACGGTAGTTATATGCAGCTGGATTCTATGCTGCTCTACACTACTGGCATTGGGAAAGGAAACACCAGCTCAGATCTACCGTCAGAAGAAATGTGGAAGTTGGCGTAGGCTTACAAAAAAGTATTAGATAATGTTATCAAGCATTAGCGTCCCTATAACTCAGAAAACGAGGTTCTCGTGTAGTTGGCAAAATTATTATCCACCAGAATTAATAATTCGATGAAATTAATTTCAGATTGGATCTATTCCGGGCTCTTTTCTCATCTTAATATTATTAGTAGCACTGTTGAAAGCAAGGCAAATGAAATCAAAACACAGTTTGGTGCGTTTTAAGAATAAACTCAAGTACAGCTTGTAAAATACATACTAAGAATTAGGAGAAGCAAAATTCGCGCATAAAATAATTTCCGCGGTAACGCGCAAATGCCAAGTAGGTATGTATAGAATACTTTAACGAGAACGCGTTGGTACTTACACGATAATTAAACAGGAACAGTGAGAGCTTTTGTAAATAATCTATGGCATATGACTGATTGCACCAGCGCACAGGATATAATATCTGTTAAAAGGACGCCCTTGTAGAGTTATTAGCACGGTGTCAGCAGCGGCGTGTCATCATCTTCCGGTGCAACTTTCCCACGGCGAGAGTGTTCGCTATGACGTTCGCGCAGTTCTCGCCGGGCAATGCCGATGCTCTTCCACGCAAAACAGCAAAGACCCACTTCGATCAAACTCATCAGCAGCAGTAAAGCAGGCAGCTGAAACTGCTCCGGGACAATGAGCCCCAGCACCGGAAACGGGAGGAGAGTCCAGAGTATCACGCGGGAAATTGTCACCACGATGCAGCGTTCACAGTCTGTCCATAGAGCGCACACGCAGAATGGCTTATTGCTGGTCTGCACAGCTGACCTCTCAGGGATGGTTGGCTCCTCGTTACCCTCTTCCAGATCAACATTGATTTCTTTTGGTTTCCTGCAAATGAAATGTAGGTGTTTCGCCGAACCGGTTGCCGGGAAACTGGTTAAATTTATTGTACAGTGAGCCTGCACGGTGGTGGTTTTTATCGGAAACTGTCTCGCTGACTGACTGTAAATACGAAAGAGCAGCCGCACTTTGGCGCATGTTTGTTGCTAGTGAGATCCAGTACGTATATATCAAACAGTAATATATTACATTCAGCTGTTTTGCTCTCGTCCGGGCAATCGACTATACTGCAGTTGCAGTTTCAAATCGGTTATGTAAAACTTCTTATTTGATATTTATATGCATAAGGCACAAAAAAATGTTACTAGACACAGATGGACGTGGAAGTAGAATTCAAAATTTCGATATCGCTTACCGGTTGCTCTTCGCCTCACTGACCCTACTTTCGGCGAAAACGTAGAACATAGATGCCGAGCTGCCCATTACCAAGAGAATTATCGGCAACCCGACCACCGCCCCAACGATTCCCATCCACACCACATAGAAACGCTCCGTCACCGGCGAAAAGACCGTGTCGAAAAGCGCGACGAGGGCCGGGTACGTGGTCTGCCAACGGGGATAGTGCAGATCCACATAGTACGACAGCATTGCAGTTTTTTGGCCCATTCCCTGAAAACACAACAATCAATAGCTCCGAAAGGTTAAGTACTGCAAAGAAAAAAGACGGTGTTTTAACAGTACTACTGTGTCGATAGAACGACAAATAGTGGCCTCTTCATCTGGCAACGTGGTGCATTCTGCGGGTGTGCCCACGGGGGTCTTTGAAGCTAATTCTGATGAACTTTTCAGTATTACAGTACTCTGTAAGTTGCTACTACAACTACTATAATCTGATTGCGCAATCATTTTCTTTGAATTACTCTAAATCCTGCACACAAAACATGCTGCATACTGAATTTTGTGTCATTTCTAGCCCATAATTTCACAGACGGCCCATGCTTGCTCTTCCTATTAAGCGCTTATTTTTGGCCGGCATTTTTAGACAAACGTTTTTTCATTGTCCAATAAAGTGCTGTCGGTGTAATTACAATGACAGTGCTTTATTGGGCACGAAAAGTCTATACCACATTACATGTAGTTTTTTCGTAACTCACTCAGCCAGACCCATTGATTCTGTCTGATAACACAAAAACTATTAATAGGATAACCGGAAGCTGTATAAAGACACCTCTGAGAGCCAGCATTCGTTGGGTTGCAGCAGCAGTTTTAAAAGCAGAAAAAAAACCACCAAAGGAGATAAGCATATGGTGCGTTGTGTTATTTTATGTATTCCTGCACCGGTTGTCTTTTCTCTTAAGTGTTATGCACACTATTGCACAGTAACCAAAAAAGATGAAAGCCCTAAATTACGACAACAATTACAGTGGACGACAAAAAGAAGTTGAAATCGACCGGCCAGTGTGCGGTCGCGCCTCATCAAGTTCTTTTTGTCGTGCACTGTACTTTCATACCGTTGCGTAGTTGTCGCAGCACTCGGTGCACGTGACATATGTCCAATATGGTTCCGGAACGGATGTGGAACCGTTTTGGGAACTGGCAGATGATGAAAAAACCCAGAATGAATGGATCCAAACGGAGAACGAATCCATCCATCCTTTAACAACCGGCAGTGCAGGCAGCAATTCAAAGCAATGAATAACCACACAGTAAAAACCCGGGATCGCAACCAGCAGGAACGTGGTCAGCCATTTGATGCGCTTAACGGGCGACGGATGGTCGGCCGGTTTTTCGGTCTTGCATACAATTTCCGGCGACTCATCTGACGCGAATGGCTGGAAGATGAGCCGTATTCCCGTGACATTCCTGTCAAAGCAAATACCCATCGAAGTCAAAATTTTATGACAGGAAGAAATCTGGTACTCGAGTACAAATATTACTACATGACATTGTTCTTCATGGTTATTCCAGGAGGTTAAGAGATCGCTTTCCATTCATGCGGATGCCCAGTACGATTTTCGGTAAGTTGCCGCCCAAAGATTTTAAACATCGTTTCATGATAGCGATGCAACGAACCGCTTCGAATGTGATTTTCCGTAAAGTGAGGAACATCACCGTCTATAGAAAACAGTTTTCTGAGAACGAGAAAGTCCGGTACCTGATCATTTCATGCATTTGCATCAAATACGTCCGGTTCATCCACAGTCCCCAAATCCTACCGGTGCAATGCACAGCTAGCAGAGAGAAGCACACAACAGTCGTCGGGAACACCGTTTCTTCGCCGCAGTGTCGACCGATGAAGGATATGGTCCATCCCGCTATAATAACCACCGGCAAAACGCAGAACACCAGCCAGAACCCCACGAAAACGGACAAGCCAGCATAAAAGAGAAAGGTGTTCAGAACGTATTTTCGCCATTCAGCCACATTCGGATCCTCTTGAAAATCCCAATCTTCGCCTTTGCAGGTCGTACTGTAGCCAAACCAGGTTGTAATGCGGCGGCAGTTGCGAAGGTGCTGTGTCCAGCGGGGAATTCTCCAGTGACGGTTGACCCACGCGGAACAGATGACGGAGACGCCGAGAAGCACGGTTGCGATGATCATCGCCAAGGTCCCAAAGTAGCCGGCATTAGCTCGCGCTGTGCTCGACGCAGCCGTATTGGTGACCGTTTGCGGAATGGTGGGCTTCCAAGGGGAGACCACGTCATCCCACACGCAGCCAGTAATATTCTGCAGAGGGAAAATTATTCGAATCAGAGCATCTTTCTGTACAGTAATGGTTGGCAAAATTCTATAATAAGTTTGAGAAGCGTGACTGCACTCTTCCTAAAGCATTACCGTATAAAGCAAAAATTGTAAGATTGTTTCCTAATGAGACTTTTGGCGCATTTATTTGTAACCTTGTATGGATGAGGTACATCAGCGGATGATGCCATACGTTTGATGCCGAAAATATGTCTGTACACAATGGGTATCTGTACGATTCCGAGTAAGTTGTAGGTTTATTCAGGACTTCTACATTTTTACAAAATCCTGCTTTCGAATATTGTGTTATTTTGGTTTTATTCCATACATTTATTTTTACACCTTTTTTTTCCGCTAACTTCTACAGCTTGCGCTTTGTATTTTGTGATAATCGGTATTACTGTACTTCATTCAGCTAGACCCGGGACCTGTGTTTTGAGGATTGCTTCTTAATCGGAAAGGAACACTAGCTGCCATCTGATAAAATTAAGCATACTTTGAAGTAGTTCAGTTCATCGAATAGGAATCGTTGAGTGGGCGCAGCGCCCAATAAATTTCTATGTTGCCTAATGACTGGTAATATCAGATATTACCGAGCACATGAGTATTGTGCAGTATTTGACCCTTTTTATTATACGAGGATAAAGGATTTGTTTCGGAAATAAACTTACCTGGCCAAGCAACAACCACAGAAGACGATCCAAATCCGTGTATCTGTCCGGGTCGATGCGTGTGATTTCCCATTCCGGGAAGAAGCGAGTACCGAATTTCAGCGATAGCTGGCATCCGATCCACAGCACGCACAGTGCTTCCGTAATGATCTCATGGTAGGCCCAGTTCAGGTCGCGGTTGAGGACATCGTGGAACGTCGACTTTGCAAATTTTCCCATTGTATGGAAATATCAGAAGCGGGATAAATAAACAGCGCAGTAGTCGGTCATAAAGGGAAAGATTGTCTACTTCCGCTGCCAAGATTTTATAGGTTGTAACAACTTTCTCGTGCCTTCAGAAATACCGATCTTAATCAGGCGACATAAATTTTTTCGCGCTTAAATAATATTATATACATAGACGTTTAGGTGAATAATGGGGCATATTGTGGTGTACGAAAATCCAAAAAAATTCTGTGCACTGTTGGAAAGGCATACAGAGCTATTTTCCAAGCAGAGCACCTGCTGAAACTCTGTCTAATCAAAGCTCTTCGTCACACCATCCACCTTAAACCTTCTCTGCATCCGGTACTTGCAGTAACTGTTATAATCGATAATTTTCTTGGTTAGTGGGCAATCGTGGAGCTTGCACAGCCTTGCAGTGCTCCCCACTTGCTAATGTGCGACACATACAATCAACGCGGCTGAATAGGTTGCTGACGTGCGCCGATGCGAGATGCAAAAAATAGCGACAGAGAGTGGTATACAGCTTGTGCTTTCTGCTTGATTATCACGTGACGGAAAAGGAAATCGATATACCTAAACCCGTTCCATCACACTATTCACGAGGTGATCACCGGCATAGTTAAGCCAATTTCTCAACTATCCTGGTGAGCCAATGCGGTTTATTGGGCGGTGGCATAGCCTTTAATAAAAAATCCACCGCATCCATACTCCACCGCATCCATACTCCACCGCACACATACTTCCCCACTCTGCAGCATAGCATGCAATTGGTAAGCGACTATGTGAGCCATCATGTACATAGATCCACAATGTCTGCCATGCATATCCAGTGCAACAATCCTTCTAGCCGACACCGGCACTTATTGCTTTAAAAAATGCCGGCAGTTTCACCCGGTAAATGGTATTAAATGATCCGGTAAATGGTATTAAATTTAAGTAAATTGGTTTCAAAACATTTGGAAAAAGTAAGCGTAAGTAAGCGGAAAAAGTAAGCGGAAAAAGTAAGTCATTTTAAAATTTGAAAAAAGCTCCAAAATTTTAATTTTAGTTTTAGTGTCAAAACGGTCTTAGGTTAGGATATTTGAAGGATATGTGACAGTTACGGTACGATACTGCGGATACAAGCAAAAAAGACACGTTTTGAAAAATTTTATGTGTACGAACTACGAAGTCGTCCTTATCTAAAACTCGAAAAGGATAATAAATCTGTTACCATATTTCATCGTATTTCTGTAGCATCCCTTACGTATCCTACATGTACGCACTAAGAAACTTAAGAAAACATTAAAAAACCTATGAAACCACATAAAAATGGTGTGTTGGATGCACGGGTAATTTATTTAATTTTAAATTTATTTAAATAAAATTTATTTATTAATAATTTAACGTTTTATATTCTTTTATTTCGCGGTTTTTTTACATAATTACTATAGAAATTTGTCACAAAATCCATATTTTTTAACAAAAATACAGTTAAATGGTATCCAGTTTCATTCGAGAAAAAAACGCTTATGTTGCTTCGTCCAAAAGATGTCTTCAGGAGGCAAGAAGGGTATTTTTTTGCGTTTCAAAAATCCACTAAGTATGTACAGTGTAGTTCCGCAGACCATGCATTTTTGAAACGAAAATTTACATTGAAACGGCCTTCATAAATGACCATAAGTACATATAGGTATGTACAGTATATAGTCTATATACTGCTCTAGCAGGTATATTGAAACATGCCGTTTCAAAGCATATAAAAAAACTGTTTTCCGCCGATCGAATCGAGGTACTGCGAATTTTTTCGTACGTCGTAAATATTGTGTTAACAGCTAATCCTTGTTAGTGCAGTAAAAAGCTCAAATATCAAATTAGCCAACACGTAGACGTAACATATTTAGAAGAACTAAAGCAACAGTTTCAATAATGTAATTATAACAATGACGCAAATCAGAAAAAGCACGTACTCACGCAAGCATTTGCATATACGGTAGCGACCAATTCTTCTTGGCACATCGTAAATTACGCGGGATTTATGGGAAACTTTTGTGACCAAGTAAACAACGTATGACTGATTTAGCCAGCTCAAAGGAGTCATTCGTTAATGAGGCAGAGTTACAGGGCGATCAGCACGATGTGAGCAGCTGTGTACCATCATCTTCCTGTGCAACCTCCTTGTGACGAGTGCGATCGCCACAATATGCGCGAAATTTGCCCCAGTAAATACACATTCCTTTCCACAGCCAATAGCCGATGCCCACTTCGACTACGCTCATCAGCAGCAGCAAAGCCGGCAACTGGAACTGTTCTGGGACAATCAAACCCAGCACCGGAAACGGGAGGAACATCCAGAACATCACGCGCGAAAATTCCACCAGGATGCAGCATTCTAGGTCCACCCACAGAGCGCACACGCAGAACGGTAACTTTCTGGTCTGGTTAGTTGATTTAACAGGGGCAGTCGTTTCCTCTTTGTTGCCTTCCCGATCGTTCCTTCCAGATCGTTTACTGTCGTTTAAAGTCTCTTGGGGTTTTCTGTTAACAAAGAATATGTTACTCCGGGATTATCTGACTGGAAGTCGGCGAGAATCTTCTGCGTTTGATATGTTTTATTAGACACAGTTACAAACTTTCGCGGTATGCTTATGCATACGAAACGCTTAACGTCCGCCATACAAGCCCATATCAAAGCACGGTTACGGTCTATAGGTGGGAAAAGAAGCTGAGAGAGGCTAAAGTCATAGCGCCTACCCCGGTGATTTCCCTTGTATAGCGTGACCTTCTGAGATGGGCTTGTACTTTGGCACTATAGGTTTTAGGTACTGTAAGGGACAACAGTTGTGAAGATATTGTCAAACTCAAATCACTCACTGAGCAGTGTCACCAAAAACGTTTGTAGCCACAAGCCTGTTATAAGGAATGTTGGATCCCCTGCAGCCGGTCGCTGGGGACCTATAAATGCAGACTAATATCTTAATCATGCAGCTAAAACGCTTCGAATAAGACAGACATCGACACAAAACTTGTATCGCAGCAGAAGGCAGTTTCTATTGCAGCACGACACCCCAATTGCATACCGGATGCGCTGGTTAATACTGCGCAGCAAATTGATGAGACCATAGCAGCATAACCCTAAAACAAATGCCGCTTCCGCCAGCCCTAGTATAAGCGCCGGCAGGAAGTACACCCCCGCAACTAAACCAATCCATAGCACATAGAAACGTTCAGTCACCGGCGAGACGACTGTGTTTATCAGCTCCATAATGACGGGATTATCGGTATGCGAACGAGGATACTGCAGATCCACATAGTACGACAGCATCGCACTTGAGTGGCTCATTCCCTAAAAAAGTAATACACGCCAGTTCCGAAAGGAGACGACAGCAGTAAACGAAAAAAAATAAATAGCCTGAGTTTGTGGCCGTTGAAAGATCACTACGTACTGCGCCGATACAGTGGTAATGCCTAAACGTGAATAAAAACAGTTTGTTGGTGTGAGTGCATTACAATATCTGTAGTCCCATATAAAAATTTACAAAATTCGGGACTGGCGCATTTGGCGCCCTCGGAGAGAACAATAGCGCCCCCCTCCCGAAAAGCTCGCGACGGCCCTGGTTACAACTAACGCGCACATTAACCAAAGATGATAAAAATCGTTCATTTTGGTTGTTTCCATACCGTTCCGTCAATGTCACAGCATTCGGTGCAGTTGACGTATGTCCAGTAGCTAAACGTCGTGCTTGGGCCTCCCGTCGTTTCCGGAACAGATATCAATCCGTCCTGCTTACTGTTCGATAAAAAAAGAGTGAAGGAATTCATCCAACCAACAAAATCCGGAAGTGAATTCAGCAGATGCAGGCAGTTGTAAGCCAAGAAGAGAACAGCCGGAAACGCTACCAAGATGAAGGTGGATAGCCATGTCGAGCGCTTAACGTTCGACAGCTGGGAGGTGGGTGTTTCCGTCCTGTGAGCGACTTGCTGCGACTGGTTGGCCGCAAAAGGCTGTACCATGAGCCGCACTCCCACGGTATTCCTTCGAAAGAAAATAAGCACGTTCGACTGAATTTTATGGAAAACAAGACTTATACCGTTGCATTACAAAAAAGGTAATACTCAATATAAACAAACATGAGTTTTTTTACCTGCTTTTAACAAAGCTAAGAAACACTTTTTCATTTTTCGGGATGATGCTCATGGGTTAATATTTTTCCTGCTGCCGGCTAATAATATTAAATTTTATTATACAGTAGTACGTACCTGATTATCTCATGCAACTGCATAAAATACGTCTTGTTCATCCATAATCCCCAAATCCTGCCGATGCAGTACACAGCCAGCGCACAGAACCACACAACAGTCGTGGGAAACAATGCTTCTTCGGTACAGTTTCGGCCGATGTAGGCAACGATCAGTCCCGTCACAATCACCACTGGCAAAGCGCAGAAGACAAGCCACAACGCCACGAACACGGACATCCCGGCCCCGGTTAGAAAGGCAGTAAGAACGTTAAAGCGCCACCGTGGTGTATCCGGGTTCTGTTCGTAGTCCTCGCCGTCGTAGGTCGCATTGTATCCAAACCAAGTCGTAATTCGGCGACAGTTGCGGAGGTGTTGCGTCCAGCGAGGAATTTTCCAGTGGCGGTTAGCCCAAGCGGAACAAACGACAGAGACGAACACCAGCACGCTTACGAAGACGGTAGCGAAGGCTCCGATGTAGCCGGCATTGCCTCGCGTTGTGCTGGTCACAGACGCAGTGATGGCAGCTTGGGACATTGAAGGCTTCCAAGGGGAGATCAGATCATCCCACACGCAGCTGTTCATATCCTACCAAAGGAAAATAACACAAAATTACAAGGTGTTCGCTGTTCAGTGATGATGTTGCATATTCAATAACCAAAATGCATTAATATCCAATATCCTATCCTGATATATCCTAATATCCATATATCCATATCTGAGCCCTTCGCCCTAATATTTGCGTATAGGGATATTGTAACACAGCAATACTCTAAACGTTGGCCTTGATTAATGTTTATTTGATTTTTATTACGCGCTTTTAAACGTACTATTCAACTACTGATCTTTGCAAAACCATTTTTCAAACATCCCACGATAGAGAGATGTCTTTCTACGAAGGTATCTTTCTACAAAGCCTGAGATATTTCTGGATATAGTCTATAGACCCTAAGACTGGGTCCTGATCATTGATTTGCTGCGCCAAATAATAGTTCCCGAAGTTTCTTAGTATAAATACTGATTACTGAGCAGATTATCCCCCTTTTTTTACGTTAGATGATGCACCAAAAAAGATGTGAACTTACCTGGCGAAGTAACAGCCGCAGAAGTTGGTCCAAATTGGTGTACTTGTCCGGATCGATTCGCGTAGGTCCCCATGCCGGAAACAAACGCGTACCAAATTTCACGGAAAGATGACACCCAATCCACAGCACGAACATGGCCTCGGTAAGGATCTCATGATAGGCCCAGGACAGTCCGCGGTTAAGGACAATCGTGAACGCCTTGCCAAATTTTATTTTTCCCATTGTATACATAGATGTATAAATCCGCAGCAGTTCAAATCAGTGAAGAACACTGGAGAACAAGAAAACTAAACGAAGTGGGAGCTAACAGCAGCAGGAGGGTCGGGTCCCTCATAGAGTTTGCCCAATACAGGTGGGGCAGCCGCAATACAAGTGGCGGCTGTCTCTACCACAACCTCCCCAAGTATTAGCCGAGGAGGCAGTTACGTTAACTGTAGCTACCTAATTAAGTGGTGCTGCATATGTATATTTGTGCACCTGTTGAATTTAAGTTTTAAAAAAAAATCATTCTGGATTTTTTTTTATTATCCCGACAATCTTCCTTTCTGCCATCGCCAGAAATCAGTGACGACGTCTGGTTGTCGTCTAATTATAGTGCGACGACCCTTTCATTCCCGCCACTGTTTCGGTAACCTTTTTTAGGCCGCACGTGACTGATTTGTCGTTTTTAGCCGTACCGGCGATAGCGACCTTCCCCAATTTTTCACGGAGGCCTCGGAGTTCTCCGTCCCATTTCTCCTCCCCCACCGACGCTCTCCTCTTCCTCTTTGAAGGGAATTTCGCTGCAACACACCAGCAACGCCCGCTGAGAAATGGAAAGCGGTACGTGTTGGGTATACTGTTACACGGCCGATTTATGTTTTGCGTAATTCAACACGTTGTGTACCATGCAGCGGTCTGCCCTTTGCGTAATAAATTCATTATTGTCACCCAAAACGCAGTCAGCTGCACGGTGCACAACGTGTTGAATTGTGCATATCGGCCGTCGGAAACTTTTGTTTCTTTAAAAATTTCAGAAAACAACGCCGAGCGGCCGCAAATGAGCGCGCCCCAGCAAGGGCAGCCTCAGGGGCAACTGCCCCAGGGCACCGTTTCTGTTGCTGATGGCAGCGCAGCACTGTCTCCAACTCGCCCGAATACAGCCCGCGGTGCTGTGGCAGACACGGACCAAGGATCCGGGAGCCAGAAAGGCGACGGAACTGGAGCGGATGAGTCCGCAGATAGCAGCCCCCCTCGCCTCCGTATTGATGCGCGCCGCTCACGCGCCCTTCCGAATGCAGACTCCGCCGGCAAAACTGATGCGTGCGTACTGCAGTACTTAAATATTATATTTTTATAGTTATAGTTACTAACATATATTTATATATATATATTATTGTTATTGATGTTAAACAGTTATTATTATTGTAATTAACAAGATCTTTTTAATTTTAAAGTTCTCAGGGCAATACGGCTCCGGCGAAGAAAAAGCGCGGTGCCGCTCGTCCGAAGGCTGCTCCCACACGCTCTTCTTCCCGTAAGAAGGCTACAAACCCAGCGACGAAGAAGAAAGCCGCCACAGCTGCAAAGGTGCCCTCGACTGGGAAAGCGGCACCGACATCCTCTGTGCCGAATACTGCTGAGCCATCCGCGACGCCAGCTGCCAAGAAGGGCGGCGGTAAACAAAAGCTCCCGTGTTCAGGGCAACGCGAAGAAGAAGGCGGCCGGAGCTAAGCAAGACTCCGAAGCAAAAAAGGCTGCTTCCGCTGCCAAAAAAGCGGAGGCCGCTTCCAAGAAAGCCGCTGCAAAGAAGCCAGCATCGGCAAAGGCGTCCGCTGGTAGAAAGTCCAAGTCGACTTCCACCGGCCTGTGGACCTTGGCTCCGCCGGCTACCAATTCTCCGGCCACCAGTCTTCCGGCCACCGGTCCTCCGGCCACCGGTTTTCCGGCCACCGGTTTTCCGGCCACCGGCCCTCCGGCCACCAATTCTCCGGCCACCAGTCTTCCGGCCACCGGTCCTCCGGCCACCGGTTTTCCGGCCACCGGTTTTCCGGCCACCGGCCCTCCGGCCTTCTCCGGCCACTTCCGGCCACCAATTCTCCGGCCACCAGTCTTCCGGCCACCGGTCCTCCGGCCACCGGTTTTCCGGCCACCGGTTTTCCGGCCACCGGCCCTCCGGCCACCAATTCTCCGGCCACCAGTCTTCCGGCCACCGGTCCTCCGGCCAACGGCCCTTCGGCCACCGGTTTTCCGGCCACCGGCTTTCTGGCCACCAGTCTTCCGGCCACCGGTCCTCCGGCCAACGGCCCTTCGGCCACCGGTTTTCCGGCCACCGGTTTTCCGGCCACCGGCTTTCCGGCCACCGGCTTTCCGGCCACCGGTTTTCCGGCCACCGGCTTTCCGGCCACCGGCTTTCCGGCCACCAGTTCTCCGGCCACCGGTCCTCCGGCCAACGGCCCTCCGGCCAACGGCGCTCCGGCCACCGGTACTCCGGCAGCCGGTCTTCCGGCCACCGGCCCTCCGTTCACCGGCCTGCCGACCCTGACCCCAACTACCCGGCCTCCACCGTCCAGGCCTCCGCCGACTCGGGCCCAGCCGACCCGAGCTCCGCGGACATCCGGTCCGTTGACCAGGCAACCCGCTAAGCGAACCTTGAGCCCGGCACGTTTCGACCAAGAGCCCAGCACCAGCAGTGGGCCGAACGGTTCTGTCCGCAAGCAACAGCTTGGGCCTGCGCAGAAGAAACAGCGCTCAGCTGCCGCTCCGGACGGGATGCATCTGTGCAACCGCATCACGAAGTTGAAGGTCGGCAGGAAGACCCATCCGGTCGCCCACTGGAAGTCGACCGTACTCGAATTTCGCCATATTGATGTACCGTCTGACGCCGAGCTTTCCGAAGAAGAAGGAGAGCTGGAAGATTTCGTGGATGCCCGTGACGGGCAAAGTGGATATGTAGAGGTAGGTCACTTTCATACACCCACGGCAACACCCACGGTACACCCACGGCAACACAAACGTCAGTTTATTTTATGTTTAATTGCAGGCTCGTGAACGCCTGGAGAAGCTGCGTGAAGACATCCAGCTGCGCGGCGGCAAAAGGTTCCGTTGTCCATTTTGCGGCTTTCTTGCCGGCAGTACTGGTCGTAAGGAGACCGTCGCGCGTCACGTGGGCGGGATTCCAGGACACGGAGGTCAGCGGTCGTGCTGGGCTTGGGCCACGTCGGATGATCCAGTCTCCCGTCACGAATACCTGCTGCGGCGCTTCCCCACCCGCAAGGTGCAATGGGTGATGCTGAACGAGAACGGGGACGAGACGGGAGAATCGGGCGAGGAAAACTGGCCTCCGGCGTGGGTTGGGCGCACTACTTACCTGTACCCAGAGCACGAACTAGACGCTCATGTGGTCCAGCAACACGCGCAGGCCGATGGGCAGCAGCCTGCACTGGAGGTCCTGGCCGGTGGCGACGCAGAAGAAGTGCCGCAACAGCCGGCAGCGGCTGCGGGGCACGCCGCGCTGGACAGCTGGACGGAGGAGGACGAAAACCTGGTGGAGACCGGGGCAGGTTGGGACGCTCTGATGGCTGGTGGGGAAGCGGTTCCCGAAAACCCATTGCTGTCGGAGGATGAGGATGGAACTGGCGGGGCAGCCTAATGTTTTGTTTGTTTTTTGTAGTTCGTTGCGTATATTTTTTGTATACTTTCCAAGGAACCGTAGGTGTTCAGAATACACGCTGTTACTGCACTTGGTTTTACTGGTAAAGATGATTACTGTTATTATGGTATTATTGATTTTACTGTGTTATTACGTTTTTTTTTTGTATTTGCTAATACGATTCTTGAGTTTGCAGTTGTTGGTATTTTGCTTGTACGTAAACGCTAAATAAGCTGCGTTATATCAAAGTACAGTAACACTGTATTAAAATTTACCGCAGTAATTACAACTTGGATTAAAAACAGCAGGTAAGTTATAAGAATCCTAAAATTTTCGAGATTCGACGGCTACCCGTGGCATTATCAGATTCAGATGCAGCGTAGAACTGCAGCGGACTCGAACTGCCATTCACCGGCAATTTAAATTCGAATCTTGCACACGGTACGCTGGTGACGTAATTGAACTCGAAGAGAAGAATGGGAGGCGGGGCTTCCGATTCTTCGTTCTCAGTATAGCGAATCGTGGGAAAGCCAAGTCCAGCTGGTTTTGCCTTGCAATTTTAGCCAGTTCTTCTACAGTCTCCATTCTCACTGAGTCAAAGTTCTCTTCTTCCACATTTCTGGCCAATAATTGTTTTCCTATGGTTTATAATGGACTTCAGCTGGTTAGATTTTGATGACTATGATGCCGATTTTAATCTTGATAATCCGCCCGCATTATCTACAAATAGCGGGCCAGTGGACGCCGACGCGCAATGGATCGCTGATATGGCTGTGGTTCTAGCTGAGATGGGCATGCCGAATGGTGACCCTACAGAGCAGATGGAGACCGGAGACCCATTGGTTACGGAGGTCGACGCCCGTGTTTCTTTTGAGCAATGCGGTATGCAAACGGTGGAACCGGGTACGCAGAGCAGCTTTCCAGAGAACCACGCCAATTTTGTAGCTGAGGTTAGTGCTTGGACTGACGTTGATTCTGCCGGACCAACCAGCTTGCCCCTATTGCTACGCTTATCGGTCAGCCAACTTTTGTGGATGGAGTTCTCACGGGCGGAGCTGGGAACATTTTCAACGGCGGTGTTGGTTCTCCCTTACAGCCGATTACCGTAGAAGTCTTGCAAAGTGGATTCAGCGGTTTGGAATCGCCTCCGGACAGTGGCAACGAAGTTATTCAGGGGCAAACGGTGAACGAATGGGTGGACCTATGGAAAATTTTATCGTCGCCGTTACCGCAATCAGCAGAACCGTCACCAAGGGATCAGTTTCTGCGAGGTACTTAATGTTTTTGTGTGGATATACTGTATTACACTGCTCAGGTTGTCAGAATTTGATTAGTTTCGTCGCTAAAATTGCATAACTCTATCAGAAGTACGAAAACTTCGTAAGTTGTATTTGCAGTCGTAATAACCAACACCCACGTTCACACCCACGGGTGTATATTTTAGTTCTTGTTTTAAGTAAAGCGTTAATCCAGAATGACTGTATTAATTTTTGGATTGTTATGTGCAGAAAGCGAACCCGTAGAACGGATGAACTTTGGAAACGCATCGCTTGCACTCACGAGGGACAACCGCGGCGAGGTCTACACCGTTCAGTTAATGTCTCCCATGGGAGTACTTACTACAGGAAAAGCTGAATTCGTAGCATTCCTCCAGTATATGCTTTCGTATAAAAGCCATTTGGACTGGAAGCGACCAGCCAACATCAAAGTGAAGCGACGCCACGCCATGATTGAATGCCCTCTGCACGATTTTGGCCCTCGTCTACGGGGAACGTTTGTCAGCATGGGTCGCGGTGAAGCGCACTTCAGATTCGAGGCTTTAGGAAGGAAGATATTGTATCGAAGTGCGCGATACCGAGTCTTCAGAGATTTCCGGGATGCCGACGAGGTACAGCAACTACAGCTGCTGAATGAGTTTGTGCCGCGAAAAGACCGTGGATATGCAGGTAAAAAGTACATGGAATGAAACAGCAAATTCCGGTCAGTCAAATGTATGTGTTTTGAAGAGCTGCCAAACGCATTTTGGAGCATCTATCTCGACAACATCAACGACGAAATTCAGCGTTTTAAGCCGGACTTCATGGGCAGAGACCTGAAGCGAAACGTGGAGAAACGTCTTTTACAAGAGCTGCCGACGGGATGTTTCTACTCGTGCTTGTATGATCATTTGGATTTGTTAGCATTGTATGACTTGCGACAGCTGTCTGATTTGAAACAGAAAGTGACGAATCAGTTTTTTGATGAACTTAAGTTTTAGTTGTTCAATCGTAATTCGGCGCAATTGCAAGTTTTCCTTTTTTATTTCTGTACACCCACGGGGACACCCACGGTAACAATGAACATTCTATGCGTGCAGTATATCTCGGCTACTAGAACAGGCACATTGGAAACGTCTTCGTAAGAAGGTTATACATTTATTCTCATGGTATGAGACTGTGCTGTTGGCGGTTGATCCACGGGCATATTTTTCTAAAAGAACAGCGAGTCGATCAGTAGCCACCACTCAACCTTACATACAAAGCGCTTTGTCAACTAACCTTTTGCTTAGCTCGTCACGACGTGAGATTCCGAACAGTACTGTTCCAGTGATCGGTTTGCAGGACCTTTCCAAACGCGTCTAGTAGAACAAAGAACGTAAATAGTGCGAATAACAGAAAATAAAAAACTGCCACCGTGACCTTTTCCCATCGCCGCTCGCGACGGTTAAGGTCGGGTAGCATGGCTTGGAGATTAGACATTTCGACTTTCACTGCATTTGCAAAAATCTGTAACTGTCGTGATTACAGGCGTGGCCTTAAATGATTGCAAAAACAGAAAAAAGCAAAATGCAACTGAAAGCTGACTTAAAGCCTGAGTGCTCAGCGCTAAAATTTGCAGTATTGTTTCTTGATACTTTTTGCAATGGAATCATTTGGCACATCTGCTTATAGTTCCGTGGAAAGTCGCGTACAAACGTTCCCTGCTGAAAAGTTTACTTTACGTATTCGAACTCCACGTCGTTTAGCCGAATGTGGATACATTTTGTTCCTTCGGAAGGTTACTTTCTCGCTGAGTGTTTTTGTTGTGGTCATCAACTGACACACTGTGATAGTGATACCGACTTTTGGGCGGCTCACGCTACGTATAACCCTGACTGTCGCTACTTGCAAGCACTGCGACCGGCTTTTGCGCAGAAATTTCGAGACGTAAATAAGTACTGGCAGGATTACTGAGGTAAATTCGTTGTTTTTTTTTAACAGTACACGTATCGCCTGCCCATAAGACATAAGCTCTAACAAAATTGATGTTTTCGTGTGTTTCGTAGATTAAATGGCTCCGTACAACAAACGGATGGCGCATTATCTAGCCCGCCTTAACAGCTTCAACCATGTCAAGCAATGGCAGTTCACCACTCAAACGAAAGAAGAGATGGCTGCATCTGGATTCTCCTATACGTGGTCGAACCTTATACACTGCTATCAGTGCGGACTTGGATTGAGGGATTTACTGCCGTACGAAAACGTAGATGTGCACCATGCTCGCTACCGCCCTCGGTGTCCAGTCATTGTGAGTCGAATCGGTTTGGATGCTATCGACCAGATCCGCCAGCTCCAGGAAAGCGCTTACGCATCAAGCTACCGCGTTCGGGATCTGTGGGACCGGGAAGGACCCAGCAATGGTAATATATGTTTCTGTTGCGACGACGACGCTTTACGACCCCTAAAGTTATGAAGACACCGGAAGAGCGCTTGTCTTCATATCCAACAGAGTGGAAATCCCATATTGTCCACCCAGTGCGACTGGCTGCAGCAGGATTTCAATGGAACGGAGGGACACGGCTGGGTGTGTTTACTGCGGACTGATAGTAAGCAGCTGGAAAAAAGGCGACGATCCCGAAGAAGTTCACCGTACTCTAAAGCCTGAGTGTAAAAGCTTGTGCTGTTTGTATTAAAGCGGGTTTGTAGCTTTTGACATAAGTTTTCCACCACCATGTATTGTGTGTTAAAAGAACTTCCGCGCTTCCAAGCGCCGTTTGGTATGTGTGTATGTGGGCCAACCATGTCGGGCAAAACGCAGTTCGTGTTATCTTTAATTAAAGACCGAGAGCTGTTGATTAGTCCACCTCCGCATCGAATAGTTTACTGCTATGGTGAATGGCAAAATGTTTTGATGATCTACAAGCGTCTGTTGAATTCATTAAGGGCATTGAAACAGTTCTGGAGTCTCCTAATTTTTTCGACACTAATCAACAAACACTTTTAATAATCGATGACTTGGCTAGCGACATATGCAAAGACGTGCGCTGCTCAAATTTATTTACGCGCGGCATCCATCATAAGAAGGTTTCCGTTGTGTTATTGCTTCAAAACCTGTACAAACAGGGAAAGTCAATGAGGGATATTACGTTGAACTCTCAGTACCTTGTTTTGTTTAAGAGCGTGCGTGACGTTAATCAGATCAACCTACTTGCTCGGCAAACCGGACTCAGTCAGCTGCCAGACGCGTACCGCAAAGTCACTTCTGTGCCTTTTGAACCGCTCATTATTGATATGAGATCAACGTGCCCGGACTATTTAAGGGTGAGATCACACGCACTTCCCGAACAATCGGCGCGAATTTATGTTAAAGCTAATTGCAACGATATCCCCCAACCATGTCGGAACGAGTCAAAGCCCTCGCCCCTTTTGTGATTACTTTGAAAGGCCTCAAACCAAAACAACGCCGCGTCTTGATGGGATTTGCCAACAAACCGCAACTAAAGGCCATAGAAGAAATCGCTGTGAACATAATCAAAAACACCGTCAGCCTATCGCCGACTGAATTGGACAAGTGCAAACGTCATCGCAAAGCATTAAAGCTGCTTGCATTGCGACGGTATCCCATGAAAGCTAAGAAGCGCATTCTTCAGCAAGGAGGATTCTTGGGTGCAATTTTACCTGTTATTGCTGGCGTCTTGACATCGTTGATTGGTAATGGATGAATACTTTATTGTTCCTCGCCGCGTCATGGAAGAAAAACTTCACGAAAAGATCCAAGTCAACAGGGAGCCTCCCGAAGCAAAAGCCGTTGTTTCGTTGGACAATTTAATTGCGCAAACTTTGCAGCGAAAGGATATAAGTGAATACGAGAAAGCGAGCCAGCTTTCCAGTATTCTGGAACGTTTTCTTGCTTTAAAACCAAAAGCTATGCCGGATGAAAACCCCGTAGAGCCGCCCAAATACGTGCCTCCAGTACCACCATCGCCACCAAAGAAGCCGCGCCCTAGTCGTCCCAAAGAAAAATCTGAGGAAATACCTATTCCAGTTGAACGGTTGCGGTCTGGCAGAAAGCAAACAGGGAACGGGATGAAACGCAAAATTAACTGGATTACTTTATCATAATGTCTGGATTTTTGCCGTCGGTTATTAGGTTGTGCCGCTTCTTCAAAATTAACTGTGTTTCTAATTGCTGCAACGATGGATCGTCTAATGAGAAAATACCTCGACCCTCGTCATCCCGGAAGTTTTGGAGGCGTCGAGCGATTCCGAAGAACACTAAAAACCAGGACCAACAAACGGAGAGCCCAGGAGATACTGGAAGAGATCGATGCATACACTGTCACCAAAGAAAGTCGGAAACGGTTTCCACGAAATCCAGTGATAGTTACCAATCTGCGGCAGCAGTACCAAGCTGATTTGGCAGACTTGTCGAAATATTCCAAAGAGAACGATGGGATAAAATACTTGCTCTTTGTCATTGATTGCTTTTCCAAAATGCTGAGCATCCAAGCCTTGAAGGCCAAAACCGGAAAAGAAACACGTGATGCCCTTCAGAAAGCCTTCGAACAACTAGGATTTCCTGAAAAGCTGCAGTACGACAAGGGCACGGAAATGCTGAACACAACTGTTCGCGCATTTCTGAAAGACCACGACGTACAGTTCTTTACCTCCCAGAACGAAGACGTAAAGTGTGCCATGGCGGAAAGAGTAATACGTACAATTAAATCCCGCATGTTCCGATTGTTTCGCTACCGCGTCAGCACCCGCTACATTGACAAGTTATCTGATATGGTGCACTCATATAATCACTCACCACACAGCGCTCATGGAATGCGACCCATCGACGTCAAGCAAGAGAATTCTCTGCTTGTCTATAACAAGTTATATCCAGCGCTAACAGTGAAAAGACCTCGGTACAAGGTGAACGATGCCGTGCGAATTTCGATTCGAAAAGGAAAAGTGGAAAAGGATACACCTACCGATTTAAGGAGGAGATCTTCTTCATTCAACAAGTCATTCCTCATCCTGTACCGGTCTACGTTTTGAAAGACTATCAGGACAATACCATTGACGGAAAATTTTACGAACCAGAATTATCTCTCGTGCGCAACGTGCCTGACAAAGAGCACACTGTGGACTTTATTGTAAAGCGTCGCGGAAAGAAGGTGTTAGTCCGTTGGTTAGGTTACGGACCCGAACACGATCAGTGGATCGATGAAAAATGTATGAAGGTGCGCCGTTCTACCTAACTCTACCCAGCGATGTGGCTACCGATCCCGCCAACACCCCGTCCAATTGGACTACCAAGCTAAAGCATCCTATTACATTGAAAGGCAAATGGGAGATGGCATTGGTGGAGTTACAGTACCTGAACTCTTTTTACACTCTGCCAGTTGAGCAGAAAATCCAAGTGGATGTTGTGCGAGAATTTTATTTGAGAAAAGACGGGGAGTTTATCCAAACTCCAAGATATGTCAGTGCCCAGAAAAGCATTGTTGTACCTCCGGGTAATTACAAGAACGCTGAGTTGCTTCTTCAAACCATAAACTCTCTGGCTCCCGTCATTAAGACCTATCTGTTGGATGGAAAAGTGATTGACGACAAGAGTGCACTGCCAAACAATAAAATGTTTGAAGTGCAGTTTTTTACGCCAACCAACCATAAAGTCAAGCTGAGTATTGGGAATGACCGAGTATCCGTATGCTTTCCGCCCGAATCTTCAACGTTGCAAAAGATTCTGGGTTTCGATCAAAGCCAGTTTGAACCTAATGTTCCTGTTGAAACAACTGATACCGCACAAGGTCAGGCAAGAGCAAAATACTTAGCATTCTGGGACAAGGCGCCAGCACCAAAAGTAACTACGTTCATTTCCGACCGGCCTGTAAACACATTGCTAGGCAATCAGAGTCTATTTGTGTACAGCGACGTGGCCGACTACAGTTTGATCGGTGACACAGCGGCGCAGTTTTTGCGTGCCGTACCTATTAGAGGCGAAGTTAATCAGACCGTGGAAGCACGTTTTGACATTCCTCATTATGTTCCTGTTCTTCGTCAACATTTTGAAACCATAAATCTGATTATTGCCAACGACCTCGGAGCCGAAGCCAAGTTCCAAACGGGAAAGTCTCTGGTGAAACTACACTTTCGACCACAACGCCTGTACTGAAAATGCCTTTCGTTCAGTACGTTCCTGATCCGCGACGCTACGAAGAAGTGTTTGTCAGCCAAACCGGAGGAAGTGCGCTCATTCGTTACCGCGGCACGCTGCAGAATGGTTCCGGGTTCCCGCAGATTCTAAAGAATTTGTTTGCAAAGATTTCCGCATTTGCCAAACCAATTATTCGTCGAGCAGCACCCCATGCTAAAGCGGCTTTGGAAGCGGCAGCGCCGCACCTGCAAGAAGCGGCTAGCGGGGCCATTAAAGACGTCACGGCTCAAGCCAAAGAAGCTATTACTAAGCGTTTAGCACCTCAAGAAGGAAGTGGTATTCGTAAGAAACGTCGCACAGTTCGTAGTCGCCATCGCATTAAACGTATTCCACCAGCCAACATTCCTGACTACTTTTGAACATGGCTCTGCTGATGATGGAAAATTCCGAACCAGCGATGCAGTTGGACAACCAGCTGTTTGCTTTACCGGCGACCTTGACTGATCGATGGCGTACCGAGCATGAGAAACTTAATCCAACAACGATCCTGACAGACAACGGTTCGGCTGGTGACATAAACTTCTACATTCCTCCCAGTACCGCTGGTCTGCTCAGCCTGGGTGATATGATGCTGGAACTCGAGGTCGGTATAAAGGTTAAGAAGGGAGCAGCCGATTGGGATCTAATTACCAACACCGACGGAGTGGCTCCAGTTAACAACTTTCTGCATTCATTGTTCTCTTCGTGCCATGTCACCGTGGCGAATCGTCTCATCTCGGATGCGGCAACGTTTTATCCTTATCGAGCATACCTGGAATCATTGCTATCCTATGGCGTGGATGCCCAGAGATCACAGTTGACATCAGCAGGATATTACGCCGACACCTCAACTAAAATGAACGACGAAAAAGAAAACAACGGTGAAAAAAGCCGCAAAGCCTTGTTCAGCGGAAGCAACTACGTACAACTATCAGGCAAATTGTTCGCTGATCTGTTCGATCAAAGTAAACCGCTCTGTACCGGCGTACCAATCAACATCCGACTGGTGATGAGCCGACCTGAATTCTGTTTGCGAGTGTGGGATGCTGACGCAACAAAGCAGTTCAAACCGTTTATCCGGAACGCACGACTATCTGTCCGTCGATACATTCCAGCACCAGATTTCATGACAGCTGTAGCGTCAGAAATGCTGAAGAAGACCGTGAAATACCACATTGAACGCGTAGTGATGCGTGTTTCTGATATTCCCCAGAAAACTCAAAGCACTGTAGTAAGCAACTTGCAAATCGGACAGATTCCCAAAGTTATTTTCATTGGGTTTTTGGAAAGCGATGATTTCCACGGCAGTTTCAAGAGTAATCCTTTCAACTTTCAACATTTTAATATCAATCAGATCAGCGTGGAGGTGGACGGTCAAAGCTATCCAACAAAACCCTATACTGCCGATTTTGGACGTTCGCTGTCATTGGAATGTTATGATGGGTTGCTGGACACATTGGGATATCGCACTCATGCGCACAACAGCCTCCATATTAATCGAACCGCTTACAACGGCGGATACACGCTGTTCGGGTTCGATTTAACGCCTGGACATACTGGAAGAGGACCGCTGACTTTGGTGAAGCAGGGCAATTTAAGCGTTTCGGTTAATTTTGACAAACCGCTGGAAAAGACCGTAATGATGGTGGCTATGTTAGTCTACGACAGCATCATTGAGATCAATCAGCATCGGCAACTGATTGCGGACTTTTCGACATGAACACCGACCAAATCCTCAGCGCTCTCCAATCAAACCCGGCTACAAATGCTGCACTACGCGGAGTGTTTGCCAGCGATAAAGTGCCCCCTGCGCTACTGCCATATCCTGGAGCGGCAGTGATCAACATTGACCCAGCGGACCAAGATGGATCGCACTGGATTGCTGTTTACCAAGAAAAAGATGGAGTTTTGGAAGTGTTTGATTCGTTTGGGAGGAAACTGGGTTCATATACTAAGAATTTTGCTGATTTATGTTCATCTAATCGGATCGTAGAGCAAGCCGAACAACTGCAATCAGAATACACTACAGTCTGTGGCCAATACTGCTTCTTTTTATACTTCGTCGTGTTAATGGCGAAACTTATACTAATATTGTGCACTTGTTTACTGAGAATCGAGCAAGCAACGACAAGATGGTCTGCCAGTATGTGAATTCTTATTTTGACATCAATACAAAGATAATTGACGGTTCATTCATCCGTCAAATATGTAAACGAACATCGGAATTAAAATGAAAAAAACCATTCTACTGCTGCCTGTAATGTGCAGATCGTAAATGAAACACGGAATAATCCAAAACAAATACAGCTCGTTATTGACGCTACTTAAATAAGCTTAGCGAACATAGCACGAAACTCCAGAGCATTAAGTTCCAAATACCCCTTAACGTCCAGTCCAACAACTTGCCCAAGATCCACTTAGTCAGCTTCCAACAGAACAGCCTCCACATAGCGCGACTCCACAATAGCCTTTTCAGCCGCTGCCCACTCGTCATCGCTGGCACTCCCACAGCTGACTTTTCCATTGCGACCGCGCATTTGGTGGATGAGTTCAGTGAACTCTTCAGCCACTTCCTATAATCAAAACAAACTGATTACCGCACAAGTCTTTCAGAAACAGAGATCAGCATAAAATTACACAAATAAACGGAATGCTCACCTCTTTGAGCTTGTCATAAGCCAGAGCGGATTTCAAGGTCTTTGGAACATTGTTGGCTTCATCCACTCCCAGGAGTTCTTTCAGCAGCGTCATATCCATAACCAGTTCTTTGAGACCGTCGTACGTCTTCAGTCCAAAGGTCACGCCAGCTTTCGTGGGAATCAGGTCTCCGTTCTGACCGAAGGTGTAACGTCTTACGGTGGCCGTGTTGACACGGTTGTAACGTCCCCAGCCAAAATACAGTCCACTCTCCAGCGCATACAGAGGCGTCAGCTTACCGTCGGTGCCACAGTTCTGAGAATTCTTGTCCAGGTCCGCTTTACCACTCATCATCAAGGCACACAGGCGCAAGAAACCAGGCTTCTTTACGGTGATGGACTTCTCCAAGGTGCGGCGGTAGGTGTCGTCGCTTTGCTTTTCCACTCCCCGATGACGATGGCAGAAACCCCATCTTGGAAGCGGGCGTAGACGTACTTCTCGAACCCAATCTTGTACACGTTGGATCCTTCATGAGAAAAGGCATGCCGCGGATGCTTGGTGTCATCTTGCTCCTTGAACTTCTTGGCAAGGTTCAGCTTGATATCGTCCATCTCCGGTGCGCGTCGCTTGGCAAAGGTGCGGGTTTTGAGAGGCGTGGCTGGAATCTCGCGGGCAATGTTGCTGGTGGAAGGCTTAGGCGACGCGGCGCGCTGCGAGGAAATGAAATCAGGGATAAATTCCATGGCAAATGGAGTAAGAAGTACTACAGCGTTCGAATAAAGTAAAGGTCAAACAAAAAAACTGTTGCAAACTAAAATTGTCTGATATCTGGAACTGATCGAGGGTTTTTATGCGTTGCCTGACATCTGCCTTCATATACAAAATTTGAAAAAAGCATAATGCAAGACAAAACAGTAGCACTTTTGCCTTGCAAGTTGAAGGTAAACTTGAGGCGTACGAGCGAAAACGTACGTATTTGTGTACTTGGGCCAAGCTTTCCCTTGCAAAAATATTATTTTTGAACCGTTTCAGTACAAAAGGGAGGCGGCGCTATAGAGTACGGTTCAGTTGGTTCAGCCAAAAATAGTAAAATGGCTGTAAGGTGTGTTGTAGACGCTGATTGGTTTGTAATTGACAAACAAAAATACCTCAAGCAGTTGTCTTTTTTCTGTTTGGAAAAAGCCGAGGTCGGCCAGTACACATTTACATTACCACGCACTGCTGCCAAATGCGCGGGTGATTTGGAAAGGCAAGCTCGTCACTCCCACGGTCTGGTTTGGCATACCTACGGGGATTATCGCCACAATCAAACAGCACTGGCCTTTGAAGATATTTTTACTAAAGTCGGGCGACCAGCTGACGTCACATTTTATGCGAAAGGGCTTGAAAAGTGCCGCCTGCTAGAACAGTTTCTGCCAGAAGTGATCAACTTGGAAGAATACCATTGCCCGCCATTTCGTAAATTAACTGCATCAGATCAGACAACGCAACGCAAGGCGGTTGTTTTCGGATTATGGTTGTATAAGAATGGTGCGGACTACCAATGTTGTCGCCACAGCAAAGTTGAACTGTCACCTAAACCTCAGCGAGATTGAAAAACGGTTGCCCTTGGCACAATATACACCACGCTCCTTTTCCGGTTTGCTACTGCGGCGGATCACGCTGCCGAAGGGCCACTGTCAGCTGTACGTTAACGGTAAAGTGACGGTCAATGGAGGGAAAACTTGGAAGAAGCGCGTTCTCTTTTGGAGTATTTCATACGACTACTACGTAATATTGGCTACGAATGTTATGCGACTGAATATCGAATCGTGAACATTGTAGGCACTCATGATTTCGGCCAGCGGTTTGATTTAGACAGTGTCAGTAAACTTTTAAATGTTCCATACTGTGCCGACAGATTTCTTGGTTTGCGCATAAAGTTACCAGAATGTACTGCGGTTTTGTTTGCTAGTGGTCGCTGTAATTTTTTGGGAGCTAAAACAGAAGCCGATATGACATGGGCCATGATTGATTTAGTATTAAGTCTGCCAATAAACTGAAGAGCACGCGTCTGTTTGCCGTATGCTTTAATGTTATAAGGTATCACTGCAACACGTAACCATACGGTAGAGTATTGTAACAATTACCAACAATTCGTCTTTTATCGTATGTTAGACTTAAACGTTTAGACAAATCAACTTGGCGCAACACCATTGATTTTTTGACACGCTGAATCGATTCAGGATATTCAGCTACAAGAAAATCAGTTTTCTTATGCAAAACATCAACCATTGACTCGAACGTGATGCTCTCGCTGGTGTGTCCGTTCAGCGTAAAACCTTTGACTTTGGCGACACTTTTCCCATCATTAGTCTTGTAGGAATACGTCTTGGGACCGAGACTGACAAACTGAGTGATATACTGATCGGGCTGCAATTCGTCCGTTAGGTCCCCAAAAACTTGCCGGTTGGAGGAACAAATACTCCCGGCTTCTCCACAAAAATGATGGAATCTGTAAAGTAAGGTTCTTAGTCCACCATACTAGGTACAAGTTTTGAAACAGTTAATTACCGGTATCGAAGTAAAGCAGTGTATCTTGGACTTGTTCCATGTAGCCGTATAAATGGAGCCGGGCCCAGCATGTCGTAAACCTATCAAAAAAAGCACTATCAGCAAAAACACTGATCCTTCAAGAAGCAACTACTTACGCAGCCAAGACAACGTTCGTATGAGGGTTCTGGTCAATAAATAACTTTTCCCTGGTGTACGCAACTTGCAGAACATCCTCGCTGAACATATCCCACGAGTGGATGTGGAATTCACCAGAAAGAAGCATTTTGTAAAACTCCTGCGGGCAAGTTAGGTACTTGGTGTTCGGCTTGTTGTCCTGCATACCCAGGCGACCCCAGAAGCTGCAAGTACAAATCCAGTTAGCCTCAGTTTACAAAACGCGCAACAGCAGATATTACCTATTCAAACACAACTTGGCAAGCGCCCTCATGCCAGGGTTGTTCTCAATCTTTTCGCGGTCCAACTGAATGCCTTCATGATCTTTAAAATCTCGTAGAAATTGATCTTTCTGGTCGTCGGTTGTCATATCCGCTGGCCAGCCACTTGCTTCCGTTTTTATCTTGAGGAACCGATCAATGTAGTCCGCAAACAACCTTTCTTCCGACTGCTCAAAGTGCCACACTTCCAACATCTTTGTGATGACATAACCGCGCTCGATTGCAGCGTGCAGCTCTGGCGTGCCTGTAAAGGTTACCGTGGGTGTTGTCGTGGGTGTTCAGAATTTCAACGGTACATACTTACACCATGTTCCAGTAAGCGTTCTTTCTTCGTCGGAATGTGCACAAGGGGCGTTAAGTTGTTTCGCAGCGCATGTGTGGCACAGAGGAAATACCAGCTTACCGTTGGAGCGGTATGGCAGAATCGGCAGGTAAAGATCCGGAGGCGGTAAGATTTTGCAGTGCACGATGCCAAAGTAGTGCGCGATTTCCCCAAAGTCTTTAACGATAATGATGGGGTGTCCGATCGGATATTTCTTGTTCTTGTTGACAAACGGATACTCGCTGCAGACATCAAAATACCGGATCTTCTCTTCATTGCTAACGCTGTGATACAACTTTGTGGCATTTGTTCGTCCGCCGAAGAATGCATCACGAGGGTTTATCGGTTGGGTGACGGTGATTTCGTCAACAAAATCCGCGAAATCTGGTACCTGCTTTACCTGGTCGTCGAACTCGTGCTCCCAGATGACAAACAGTTCGTGTCCCATGTCCCGGATGTACGTGTCGCGTTGCAGGGTTTCTTCGTAAATTTTGCTCATTGGTAAGTTTCTGAACGGGTGGACGGTATCCGGCGTTGTGCATTCAGGACATCCGTGGTACCAGCAGCCGTGGAACTCAAAAACCTTGCCTGTTGCTGCAGAGTACCCATCCACAAAATAAGGTCCAACTTTAAACTCGTTCCCACTTGCTCGCGTCTGAATTGTGCAGTTCTCTTCCAGTTCCATCCACTGCATCCACTTTAGCGCTTTAACCGACTGGTTGCGGTTCACGTTGTATCCTTGCGGTGGAATCAGTCCAATCTGGTTCGCCTTCAAAATGTTGGACCTCCAATACAAACCACACAATCCAGCGATAGTCATCGAGGACGAGAATGGGCAAATGCCGTTACTGATGCCCAAAACAAATTTCGAAATTGGAGACAGCACTTGCGGAGTACGGTGACATCGTTCCGACAATAATCCACAAATTCTTTACGAAAGTCGAACGTGTTGTTCTTGGTGGCGACCTCCATATTGTACCATTGCTCAAACGTTTCACGGTCTTTCTTGTTCATAAACTTGGACCCGTACTGCTCCTTGGTAGGGAATTCGGTAACCTGGTCCCAGTTTTCCGGTCGATTAAATCGGTGCGGAAAGGTGCCCTTTGACGTGTCCTTGATACCAAAGGTAGCCGGCCATTTGGACAAACTTTGAGGATTGTAATTGATGCTGTCGCGGAATCGAATGTTGAGTTGGAGAACATCCAGCTGCATGATCTTACCGCCGTTTAAAATAACTTTAGGAGTAATACCGTTGCTGAGAAGCCAGTTCAGTATAAAATAACCGTCAAAGGCCTATAAAACGGCAAAATAAAGGACCATAAGAAAAAGACTGTACAATTTTACCTTGAAATTGTGGGCGATTATAATGTGATCGCGATGGTCTTCACTAAAGAGGAATCGACAAAGAGGATCTGTAATGTCGCAAAGCGGTTCGCCGTCATTCGGAAATATCCACTCTTCGCCTTCATCATTCTGAACAACCTGTATAACATACCGTGGGTGTTACCGTGGGTGTGTCGCAGAACTTCTTGTTACACAACTAGTGTACGGCATAATGCCGTGGGTGTTACCGCGGGTGTCGTATAAAATTATGATTGCAAACTAGGAACTATGCTTACCGCGAGGTTTGGATACAGCCGCCCATCCTCAGCAACGTAAGTTTCAAAGTCGAAAAACAAAATTGGGCATCCGAATACTGCATCTTCTGGAAAGGAGTAAGTTTCTGCGGCTTCATAAAACAGCGGTGATCTCCGATGACATGCTCCTGGCACGTTTTGCAAAACATTTCTCCACAACGGTGTGCGGATCCCAACTTTCTCTTCATTAAGGAGTACACACAACCACATTGAGTACACATTTTGACGGTACTGCAGATACTCCTTCGACTGCGAAACAGCACATCATTTCCCGGGCCCAGCTTGTGATGGTCGAAGCAAGATTGGCCATGAAACTTGCGATTGCAATCAGCGCAAAGCATAATGTTGACAATATCCATGGGACAATCCGCTCGCAGACACTGATTACACTGACCGCTACATCTGTGACTTCTACGGTTGTTGTATCCTTTATTGCAGTTAAAACACCAGTAACAGCGACTGAAAAATGCCGGCATGGAAGTCAAGACATCAAAGTGCCGGTTATGTAATAAAAGGCAGATATGTTTGTCCTCCAGGTTCCCGCTGTACACAATGCTGCTGGCTTGCATCGTACTCACTACCACTATCTGGTAACCTGGCAATACTTTTCAAAAGCCGAAATGTCTGCAAGGGTGTACTCACGGATTGAAGGCCGGCTTCTTCCAATCAATTCCCGGGACAAACGCAGAATTTCTTGTTTTCCTTTCGCTATATGTCGGGCGTAATCTTTTCGGCCATCGGCAAACGCTTTTCCGATAACGAGGGCACGGGCCATACAGATATCGTCCACGTTGTTCACCAAAATCACTGACGTCATCCTCTTCAGTCTGTCGTACAATAACTTGGGTACGTCGCGGGCACACCGACCGGAAGGAATCTCCGTATGTTCTACAGAAACCCCAAATGAATCATCAATGGCAAATTCTTGGTGGAATTCAGCACTTTTGAGATTTCTGCCATCCAGCGGCGCACTGTCAGCTGTGATCGTAAAGTTGGTGGAGTCCAAATAGGGAACGACAAATACGATGATTCCACAGACACTCGGACGTACTGATGAGCGGCCACACCCGCTAGCACAGCATCCAAAACGTGGTCCAAGATACCCACTATTACTGCCGGTGCGTCACAAAATTTCACAGCATCCAAATCAAATACATGCACGTCAAAGCGTTTGAAATGCATATTGTACGTCTTCGAAAACCGGTACCCATTCCGTTCCACCGTAACATGATCGACAACATTAAAATCTTCAGGGACGCCACCCCCAGCTTGGGGATCTTCATGAACCCAGTCCTCCAATTCTGCCAACTCGGCAGCATCTTGGAGGTCTTGCTGCGATAAGGCTTCGTGCTGATCTACCCAATCTTCAAGTGCCGCGAGAGCAGCCGCATCAACAAGATCTTCCTCCGTTAATTCGTAATCCATTTACGAAAGAGCACCGTATCGCAAATAAGTCGAAATTCGACGATCGAAATTTGATTGTGGTCAGTTTTGTACCACCATAAATCACTTTGGTGAAATCGAGACAACTAAAATTTAACTCCAGTGTAATATTTCCTCGGCACAAAATGCAACCGAACTTTTCAACGCATTTTCTTTTTTTCAGGTTTATACGTACGTACAACAATTAAAGTACCAGTACAAATAACAGAAAAGCACAAAATTAGTTTAGTTATCAAGAAGAAACCCAGTTAGTACAATCATGACTGAAACAGTAAATAGAATAGCCATTACAACAAGAAAACTGAACCGTGGGTACCCGCGGGTGTAGCATTGCGCAAAATATAATCAGCGCATTCCGAAATAAGAAAAACAATTTACTCAACCAAAACAACGTCGTCGTCCTTGCCATTGTCGCTGTCCTTCTTGTCGCCGTCGTCCTGGCCGCCGCCTTCGTGGTCACTGCCGTCCTCTTCATCCACTTCGTCCTCCGCCTCCGAGCACGAGTCCGGAATTACGTCGTCGCCTCCACTGCTGTCTGCTTCGTCTTCAGCCTCCGAGCACGAGTCCGGAATTACGTCGTCGCCTCCACTGCCGTCTGCTTCGTCTTCAGCCTCCGAGCCCGAGTCCGGCATTTCTTCATCGCTGCTGTGCATCCAGTCTGGAGTTTCGGCACCAGGCAAAATCCAAGTGTGATCTACGAAGACACAAAAATTAGGCTTTTGAAGGCGTAACTCGAAAACTTCCTGAAAGTTGGTTACCTGATTCGGCCATGGATTCGTCGTCGTCATTGTCTTCTTCTTCGCTGTCCGTTGCCGGTTCTATAAACATGAAGCGCTCTGAAAAATTACATAATTTAACTAACCGTGGGTGTTACCGTGGGTGTTACATGGGCCTATCATTATAAAACTGCATTGACCAACCTTTCATTTCTTCGTCGCTGTCACTCAAAGTCCCCGCCGTCACCATCCCAACGCACGACCTGCGGTACCGCCAAAACCAGTTGCCGATGATGGGCTCTGGTGACGGTATTGGAGTAGAGGTCCACGGTCCGCAGGGCTGGCAGGTTCTTCAGTGGTTCCAGCTGTTGGACAGTGATGATGCCGTTATTGGCCAACGTCAGGCGCTTCAGATTAGGCGTGGTCCGGGCCAGGGCCGCCAGCTGGGGGTTGTTCTCCGCGAACCCGAGACGGTTGTCATTCAGCTGGAGGAACGTCAGGTTCGGCATCAGTGGCAATCCGACAACGGAGGTCAATCCGCACGCGTTAGCCGACAAACAGCGCAGGTTGTAAAAACGCTGCAGCGGCAGACCCGTAAAGCTGGTAATGGGGAACTCGTCCAGGATGATGGTCTTGGCATCGTCCGGTTTGCCCTCCAAATAACCAACAATGTCGTACTGGGAATAAAAACCGCTATGAAACATTGTAACGTATAGGAAAAAACCAGAGTAGTGAAAAGGATACTACAGTAAAGTATCGAAATAAAATGCAAACAAATTACAGGTATTACAAGTGCAGGCAATTACCGGACTGCAGTGTGCAGTACGCTTTATAGCTGCAAATTTGCCATGCAAAATTGTCTGAGCGAGAACACAATAGAAATCCCGTAGTATTGCATGGGAAAAGTTTGCCTTGCAATTTGCCGGACAGAATGATTGACAGGCAGTTCGATTATTGGTAACCGCGCTATCGCAGGTGGTGAGTACTGCGACACACAATCTCTATTAGTGACTGCCCTACCTATAGCAATACACAGTACACAATTAACGTAACTGCCGCTTCGCATTTTAGTGCCAACATACGGTGGGGGGTTCTGGTAGAGACAGCCGCCACTTGTATTGCGGCTGCCCCACCTGTATTGGGCAAACTCTATGAGGGACCCGACCCTCCTGCTGCTAGAATAACATCCATATTTCGTCGAAACATGACCGGTACATGCAATAGGGCAAACACGAATTTTATATGAAAATCAGTTCATGGTCCTCTCAACGTTGAAAGCATTCCCTTTGGCTGTACATACAGATAATCCCCATTTTACATTTTACATTTTACGATATCCCCTACTCGTATGGTCGTTCAAGTGAAACACTATGATAAGTGAATGAGCGAGGGTCGTTCAAGTGAAACACCCAAAATATTAAATTCCCCAAACCTATTTTCTTCCGTTTTTTTTTATCCAATTAAGGAAGATTTACTCTATACAGAGTACTTGAAATTTTAAAAGAAGCTTAAACGGTTTTCTTGCAATTGCGTCGTAAAGAAATCAGTGATGAAAGCGCTTTAGCCACGCCACATGAGCCACTGCACTAAGCTCCTATAATTGGAGTCACCGCCGTACATGGGCGGCTGTGCCATCGCCGCGTTAGAAGTTGATTTAGTTCAGCTTAATTTCTGTTTAATTTAAGTATTTTGCTCATTTCTTCATAGTTGATGTGTTTAAAATGAACTCGAGCTCCTCTAAATCGAGTAGACCATACGAGCACCCGAAAAGAAAGCCCAAATACCAGTCTATAAGCCATAAGGTATGCAATTCGAACCAGTGATAGTGCACTGGATCACTACTTGTGCGGGTAGTTCGGTGACTCGTCACTTCACTGCCTCTTTTCACTGGAAAGTGGTGGGCGCCCGGTAGTGTACGTCCGGTCAGTAGTGATACCTTAATTGCTGCTTACCTTACCGGTTCTGTACGCCGCTGTACGCCGGACAGCAGAGAAAACTCAGTCACTCGTTCCTTAACGGGCTCTGTACACTGAACGTTAATGACAGCTCGGTCAACCGCTCACATAGCTATCCATAGTGGTAGTTCGGTCATTCACTGGCTTAGCGGGCTATTTTAACCAAAATACAGTGGTATTTCGGTCACTCGCTGAACTAACGGGTTTGTGCAGTGGCGGTAGTTCGGTCTATCACTGATTGAACAGACAATCACAGTAGGATAGTGTAGCGATAGCTGCTCGGCCGGCACTTGTTTCGATGACAACGTTAGATATGAAGACCTTCTTGTCGTAATAACGGTCTGCTAATAAATTCATTCGGATATTTTAATTAGTGGAAAATACTTTCACTTTTTAACTATATTTTAGTTGGTTTACGTGGCAACACTGCCTGGTTAAAAATACCACGATGATAATTATTATTTTTTAATAATTAAGTTGGTGAATGTAGTCAAAACTCTTCCGCTTTGGCGTTCGAAGCGGGAGGGGTTTTGAAAGAAATGAATACTATTTAGCCGGTGTCAGAGGCCTACGACCGCGCCTGGTGCGTACGGTCCACACAGGACATACTTGCAATCATTGCTTGCCGTTATCGCCTCTCTCGCTTGTACGTACGTGTGCTGCTGCACTGCACTCATCCGCTGAAGCGGATATACGCAGCGCATACACTGAGCCACACTTGCTCTCTCGTTCCTCTCTCGCAGTATGACTCAGCGTTCATACGCTCGCGTTGGATAGAGTCCAGTCTGCGCATCATCACACAGCTGATGGCACACAGCACGTGGTTGCCGCCAGCACTTTTTTCACGCGATCAGACGCTCAAGAACCTTCCTGGCATCCACTTGCTAGATTTTGCCATCAGTGCTTTGTTCTTGCTTTGCTGCTATTACGCAGCATTGTTCCCTCTTTATTTGTACAATAAAGCTCACTCGTGATCTCCTCGTGCTTATCTGGTTTTCGACTACGGGCTTTCAGAATATAATATTGGTTTTGGTCTGTCTTTTCTGGTTTTACCCAGAACCGGCTCTGGTGTATCCCATTCGTGGCGATATAGATCTGAATCTGGATATAGGGTGATACTGAGAATACTTCTCGAAGGTAACGGAAGAACTTACGTGAACAAGCTAGCGTCTTGCACACCTATGCGGAAAGCGCATGTGTGTCTCCTTGCTGCGTCTCGCTACTGCAATTTATTGCACTGAATGATACAAATCAAACCAGCCTTTCTGTTGTCAAACGCAAGCGAAAGTGTTTTCATGCGCAACAGGAACGGCTGGATTTTAGCGCAACGCAAACCACATTTATTGCGGTCATAGTTAATGAAATTACGAGTACTCGTATTATACATTACATTCCATTACATTCCATTCCATTACATTCCCTCGTACATTCCATTGCTACTCGCTGACCAATTAGCGGTTTCGTTGCTTGCTGTCGTAATGGTGCCCTGTGCCTGCGAAGCCATTTTACCTAGAATAACGCCTTTCAATTAAGTTGTAACCGGTGAATTTAAAAATCGCTTCAGTGGCTTCAGATGGAACGCGCTAATTTGCGTTTCGCATTTATTGCTGAATTTTACGTTTTCGTAAAAGGTGATTATAGGCTAACTGCTAAGGGCTAACTAAGTGAAAGACTAAGTAACCTGTACCGCTTCTCTCACATTCTGGTATTATTATTGTTGTTTTAACCGAAGGGTGTGAGTGTAGCGCTAGAATGGCGCACAGTCTTTCGTATTCAAAATTCAGCGGGGTACAAATTTATTTATTCTGGAGGAAATCTTCTCGCATATGTTTGAGCCGAAAAGCAGTGCAGTGTTCCACTGGTCCTGTCAGAAACGCGGATGCCCACATTGTTGCAAAGGTCGGTTGCGATAACTAATCCAAGAAGCCTAAATCAGAATATAAGAAACTAAGGAAAGCTGAAACAGTTTAGCAAAATGGCAGCTCGACTTCGTGACGGTTCGACATCATGTCTGTTCGACGAAGCGACGGTCTACCAACTTTCGTCAGCAAAATGGCGGTTCAACGTTTGCTTGAACCAAGCCATTTTGAAGCGTCTGCGTTAACCCATGCGTTTCGAATTAGCTTTGTAAAACGTTCTATGACTGGCTCCAATAAAACAGATAACTTTGGTACGTCTTGCCGGATATTGGTTAAGCCGTCTTTCTTGTATACTGGTAAACCCAATAGCGAGAATGGTGATCATTCTTCGCTTTTCATTGAGCAGTTGATCATGTCGTCGGAATCTGGAGTACGACAAGGCGATCCATTGGGCCCGTTACTGTTCTGCCTTGCACTGCAGCCGATTGTAGCGTCTTTAAAGGCGGATTTAAACGCCTGGTTTTTGGACGACGGAACCATGGGTGGTAAGCCAGCGACAGTAGCCCACGCTTTTGCCCAGATTATAATGAAAGCCCGCGAAATTTGCCTGGTGGTGAACGAAGCGAAGTGCGAGCTTCACATCTCCGGTGGAACCCAGCAACCCCGAGATGATACCGTTGCCAATTTTCAGGAGATGTACCCAGAGCTACGTATTCTTGCAGATGCCGATGTTTATTATTAGGTGCACCGGTTTTAGACGCTGCCTTCGGGCCAGCCGTGGCTGAAAAGTGTTCAACCGTGGAAATGGCGTGCGAGCGGCTGGAGATTCTGCCACGCCACCACGCCCTTTTCCTCCTGAAAAATTGTCTAGGCGCGCCGAAAATCATCTATATGCTGCGCTGCTGCAATGCCTGGAAGCAGCCCCAACAGTTATGTCAACTGGACGAAACAGTGCGGATGTGCTTCCAAACCTTGTGCAATGTACGCACGGCCCACAACGACTACCCGTGTTGGCGGCAGGCGACGCTACCAGTGAGCAGAGGCGGTATTGGCATACGTCGGGCGGAAGAATTAGCGCTCCCAGCCTTTTTGGCTTCGATTCACTCCGTATCCGGCTTAGTGTCCTCACTGCTTCCCGACCATCCCGCGTTAGTTAGCCTGGCTGCATGGGAGTTGTGGAAGTCCAAAGCGCGTCTCGAAGATCTCCCAGATCCCAACTTCCGTAAAACACAACGAGCATGGGATCTTCCGCTGTGTAACGCATCACTGTCTTTACTACTGGATATCTTTCGCGATGACGAGGTCAACCGGGCCCGCCTCTTGGCTCAGTCGACACCGGAAGCTGGCATATGGTTGAATGCCTTACCCTCGGCACACATCGGTAATCTACTTGATGATGACACAGTAAAGATTTCAGCCGGCTTGAGACTAGGCGTATCCATCTGTGAGCCGCATTCATGCGCTAAGTGACACAAGCCCGTTGATGCATACGGCCACCACGGCTTATCCTGTTCCTTCTCTGCTGGAAGACACCCGCGTCATGGCGGCCTCAGCAGCATCGTGTGTAGGGCATTGGTGTCAGCCGGCATTCCTGCTAAATTGGAGCCGCGGGGAACATCCCACACGTCGGATCGCCGCCCAGATGGGTGTACGACCTTCGCCTGGAAACGCGGCATGTGTTTGGCGTGGGACGTTACCTGCGTTGATACCGTCGCCCTGTCTCACTTGAAATCCACGTCAGCTACAGCTGGGTCCGCCGCAGCGCAGGCTGAAGATAAAAAAGTGCGATTATACCTGTATCTGGTGGGAAGATACATTTTCGCACCATTAGCCTTCGAAACTCTCGGACCCTGGGGAAAGTCGGCCATCGCTCTGGTAAAAGAAATCGGT